CAAGTTAGAGTAAAGTGGCTTGCTCAAGGACACACATGTGGCCAGCAGTGCTGGATCCAAATCCACGACCCACTGGTCAAGAAGGCACATACCCTAACTACCTGGCCAAACAAGATTTCTTTATTTACAATCCAGGGAGAATCCTGTATGTTGATTTTAAACTACCTATCCCCAAAAGTTTGTTTTCTGACATGATAAAGAGAGATAAAAAAAAACACCTGAAGCCTTACCATTAGCCTCCAAGGATGGTTATAGACTCTAAAGAAATGTTGGTTCTAGTTCTGGAACAATGCTTTGGGCAAGGATTTTGAACATGCAAGTGAGAAGGTTGTTGGATGGAATAAGATATGGCTAGCAGTTGAAGTTAAGCACTCTCTGAAAAGGACAAGTGCATCAAGAAGTAAATATCTGAATTATCAGACAAAGTTCCAAGATGGCGGATGTAGATAATTACAAGGAAGTCGGGAACATTATCAAAAGGGTATATCGCTTGACCCTAAGGGACTTGGTGCTAAAATCTTCCTTTTCCGCAGACAAAATAAAACAATGTGTAGAAAAGTTCAAGACGGCAGTGGGCTCGTCTTCAATGCCGACTTGAAATCCCCATTTTTTTTTTAAAGGATACCTACTTGCCACCTTTAATTAACTGTTGCTGTTGCAGCATTTGTGGAATTCTTTCTGCAGCTGCATGTAACTTCAAAGAGTTCAAAGCATGTACCCAGTAATTCCTTATATTTATCATTTCCTTTGCGGTCCACAATGTCACGAAGGTATGTAGGGGTTTTTTGGTTCCTTTCCTCGGGCATAAACACCTAATGTTTATTCTTTGTCTGTTCCGTCGGAATGATCACCCCAAAAACTTCCTGCCTCAGAGTCAAACGTTAATCTTGTAGGCCAACTCATTTCCGCTAAGTCAGAACAATTCAGGGGCTGAATATCAAAGGCTTGCACTGATGCCTGTAACTTTTTTTAAAGGTAATATACAGGGTGAGTAAAAAAATACGAAACCCAAATTTCGGGACCATTGTTTTAGTGAAGTTCTGCATGTAGCACTTTCAAAATGTAGGATATGAAAGCCCAATTCATAAGCTTTCTTTTAGTACAAGAATCATTCAAAGTTCACTGTTCTTTCAGCAAAACGAAAACAAATCACATAGGGATGTGTGTGAATTGTTTTCGTTTTGCTGAAAGAACGCACACCTTTTTTGTGATCTGCAGACAGAACTTTAAAATGGTGGTTGTGTTTAAAACTACCTAACTTGAAAAGTACAAGAGTGATGTGAATGATTCTTGAACTAAAAGAAAGATTATGAATTGGGCTTTTATATCTTAGATTTTGAAAGTGCTACATGCAGAACTTCACTAAAACAATGGTCTTGACATTTGGGTTTCGTTTTTTTTTTTAACTCACCCTGTACAGCTGTGATTTTTTTGTGAGATATTCACATTCTTACATACATGTACTGACACTGTAGGACACGCAACAGATGGTTACTAAAGTGGTCATGATAATTACACGCATCCTTAAATGTCTCTTGTGACATTAGGAAAGTAGCTAAATGTGACCTTTATCAAAAGAACAGGTGTCTGGGCTCTTCAACAAGTTTGATTTTGTTTTTCTCTCGGAATATTCAACTTGAATTTATATTTTAATTAGAACTGGGACAATATTGTCAATTCAAAGAACAGGTTCACTTTGATCTGGTTCCCATCCCTGCATCATCTCTTCTGATAGGGAGGCTGGAACCAGTCCACCCTGCGATAACTAAATAAGTGTTACTCCTGGGTGGAGAGAGGCAAGTAGGGATGAAGTGGCTTGCCCAAGGACACAACATATGGCCAGCAGCTGGATTCGAACCAAGACCTCTGATCATGAGTCACAAACCCTAACCACTTGGCCACACTCCCCCAGACTAAGCCATAGTGAACAAAAGTTGCTGATTCTCACGCTGTTACCACCTCCGTGCCCCCTTCAAATAACACTGTTAGTTTATGGGCAATCCTCCCATCAGTGGCTCGCTATTTATTTTATAAATCCTGTTTGAGTGGGCGGACTGTTATGGCCTCTCCCAAGGTTTATTCTCCGTCACTGTATCTGCACACCGGTGTGCCCCCTCCCCCCTCTCTCAAATCCTTTATGTCCACAATAAAAGTCCAAGATCATGTCAAGTGTTGACTTTAACGATCACTCCACTTGGCCGCACCTGCTGAGAGAAGAAAAGAAGAGAAAACATTTCCCAATCACACCAGGAAGCTAACTTTTACAGCAAAAAAAAGCCCCATGAAAGGAATAAGGCTGTGGTCGGCTGTGGTCGCGGAGATTGTGTAAGAACTTCAGAGAATGGGTTCAGGATGGAAAAAAAAACAGTTGGTGGTTCCTAGTGCTGTAATGCTATTGTACTGCACAGCATAGGGTTGCGGTACAACTCCAGACTGGGACCGTAACTGCGTCAAAAACATGCAAAATGACTACTGATGCTTTTCTACTCACCATTCGGCTAACTAACGCCCACACAAAACATGTTCCTCAAAATGCTATTGGGCCACTGTACTAATTCAAGCCCCATTGAAAACAGTGTAAAATCAACAAAGTTCAGGGCCAAGTAACATGCAAGCCAACATCACTGGGGTTTCTCAAACAAAAATTAAATTATTGTCTTGTCTTTCATCTTTCCATTTCTTTTCAATATTAGGTACATTAGCCAATTACATTTTTAAATATTCACACCCAAATAAAATCACCTCCCGAAAAGTGATAGTTCCCAAGCCTGCATGTAGCCATTTTACAAGTGGCATCCTTCCACTTTCACAGGCAAATAGGACCCATATTTCATCCGTGATTTTATCAAGCCTGCGCTCAGATAGAAGCCCAAAAACCAGGGAGTTGATCCTTGGGTATATTTACACAATTCCACCGTTTTTAAAGCCAAACGGTCTCTGTTTTCAAAAGAAACTGTGGGGGCACTTTTTATGCTAATGACTTGCGTAGAAATTCTCACTTGAATTAGTTCAGTGCACCCTATTGTTACAAGCATGTCTCCTGTGAAATTTGAGATCATCTATCCAATTTATAAGCAAGTTTGACATTCACACACTTTGTTCTGGAAAGATTGTGTTCTTTACAATGTATTCGGGGTCACTTGTAAAAAGAACCTTGCAGTTTACTTGTTTTTTAATCATTGGCCAAAATAACATAGCACCCTCTATGGAAAATGTAAACTATTCGTTTGCAAATGCGAGGATGCAACAACAAGAGGGCGCTGTTCCACTACACGGCTGTATGAAAATGTTGCAGTTGAGTTATTTCATAATTATTATCCACAATTCATTACGACACACATCAACGTGATGTGTAATTTTTGGACTTCACTCTCTGAAAAATTAGAATAAACTAGCATAAAATTGTGATGATGCAATGCTCACAACAACTTAGCAACACAGAAGTTTGGAGGAATTTTGAGCAAACTGTAGTGAGGAAGAAGCTTATAATCACAGCACAAACTTTTGCACGACATACATGTATATGCCTTAACTGTTTGGACTCTCATACACAGTATTGAGAGTTCCGAATTTTCGGACTAGTGCAGCCCTAGCGTAGTGAGCCAAAATCGGTTGTCAATGTGTCAAGAGGTTCCGTCATCAGGATCCCATACTACAGCTATGCAATTTTTCTTCGGATCGGCTGATTTCCTTGTTTTTGACTATTCCATTAAATATAATTGACAAACAAGAATTTAGGCTGGTTCAATTACTTCACGTGGAAGCGAACGTGAATCACATTTGATGTCAGGAAACATTCGCTGCGAAATTCACCGGAGTTGGAATGTGTTCAACTTGTTGCAAATTCACAGCTTGAAAACTTGCCCTGACTTTACAAATTCAAATTTGTCTTCGCTTTCGCACCTAGTGTGAACCAGCCTTAAAGTCGGAATTTGTAAAGCTCGGAATTAACTCATTTTTGGTTGCTTCCCAGCTGCATGCCTAATTCTGTAATGATTTGTTCATGCTACATGGTGCAAAAGGTACACATCTCACAAGAAAATGTACCTCCTATCTTGAAAGTTCCAATTCTTGCTTTTTTTTTCTTTTTCATTCATGAAAGATTATCTTGGCCACAGACCACAAACTTCTTTCACTTCAATACATTCAGAACAGGTAACCTCCATGGGTGGCACACATCCTGGGAATAAAAGGAAAACACAAGACATAAAAGCAATCCACAAGAAAGTTGAGTCAACCGCAAAGTATCCCACGGTGTTCTGCCTACTTGGACACTTTTGGGTGTTGACCGAGGGATTATCGAGCAGACTAAACAGACCGAAGAAAAGAAAACAGGGAACTGCTAACTGTTGCATGAAGAAGTCATCGGTATTAAAAGAAACTTCACGTTGATATTATTCTGGCTTTTGACGGGGTATTAGGCTTTGCGGTTTTCAACACCCTTTGAGAACTACCTAGCTGTGAAATGAGAGTGCATTAGCCAATATTTTGTAATCCTGAATGCCGTCCATAAAAAGATTTAATCCGTTCCTGGCACTATTGAACCATTTCTCAAAGGCGGGACAGTTCCGATCTATTCATCGCAGAGAATAAAAGAAGTGACTTTTTCCCTACATTTTTTATCGATATATTTGATCTTATTGTTCTCAATCTCAGACTAGCTCAAGAACTGGGCCCGATTTCTCTGTGCTGCTTAGCACAAAAATATGCTTAGCACAAAAACGTCTGGCTTATAAAAGCAGGTTACCAGCTAAAACTCCATGTGATTTTCATGTTAAGCAAACAACGGCTGAATACCAATCACGAGCAATATACATCACATGGAGTTTTGGCTGGTAACCTGCTTTTCTAAGCCAAATTTTTTGGTGCTGAGCAAATTTTTTGTGCTTAGCAGCGCCGTGCACTTGGCCCCAGGTTTTCAGGTTTCAAATATCTGCATTGAAACTACTTGGACTTGACTGATAATATTTTCCTCCCCCCTCTTGTTAAAATTTCACTACAGATGTGAATGAATGTTTGTACAACAACGGAGGGTGTCAAGGCGAATGCTGTAACAGCATCGGGAGTTACTACTGCAAGTGCCAGGCCGGCTATGAACTCTCACCCGACGGCATGACATGCAGAGGTAAGAGAAGTGATCAGATACTCTCAAATCACCAAAATCCACCCTCAAGAAGTGGGGGATGGCATGGTGGGGGATTGGGGGGGGGGGGAAACCAGTTCATAAATCAGGGTGGGGCAGTTGAACACAACATTGAGCAAGCATCCAGAAGCATTTGTCGACTTGTGGTTAATTTGTGATATCACTTATGCGTTTCCACTGATGGCAGTGTGCAAACATTTTCGGTCAAACAAATTGATAAAAACATCAACTCAACTTCTTGTTGACAAGCGATTCAAAAAGGTTTTGGGCTGGAAGTCATCTGACACAAGGGGGCACTGTTCAAGGCAAAATATACTGATGCCATTTGACACTTTAGGTAGTGCTGTTCATTGGGACCATTGCAGCTCCATAGACATCTTTAAAAAGAACCTAGATCTGACATTTGCCTGAAGTTTCTGGCCATAAATTTGACACAATTTGTGGGTGCTTCAAATACACAAGGGTAAAGTCATGTGAGGAGCGTTATTTAGGATCACAATGACCGTTCATGTAACATGGCGGTTATAGGTTGCAATGATATTTGGTCAGAAACACAACCCAAAAGCATAGGCAACTCAGGTCATATTTTTTAAAAAGTTGTCTAGATGTGAACATGTAGCTCTTGAGCAGACAGTAATACACAAATCGTAGACAAAATTGATATGTTGTCCAACAAGAACTGCTAGCAAATGGGATAGTATACAAATATTGAATGCTTCGAGTGGTGTAAACTAGTACTTTGGTTGCTAATGGTATAGTACTTTGGTTGCTACGGGTATAGTACTTTTGGCAGTGCACAGAAAGATAGCAAAATTAGAAAGTAACATGTGACTCGCTCTCGGCCAATCAAGACACAGAATCTGTGGGTGAGGTGTTATAATATCACATATCACACCTGCCTGTCTGGTTTTTTCTTGTCAAAAATCTCTGAAATGGGTTTAAATAGCTGTCAACTTCAAGAAATCACTCAAACATGTCAAGGTATTTTGTTTGGGTATTTGACCTTGTGTGCTCTTTATTTCTGAACAAATCAGCCATTCTAGTACATCGAACACTCCTTAAAATTTTTGTTAAGGCGTAGCCACAAACAACAGTGTCTCAAAAGAAGAAAACAACATCAAGCCTCAATGAATCCATAGTGTGTGGATTTTTTTCTTCGCTTTCACGACTGGACACAGAAATAGTTTTTGGAACACAGCGGGATCTGTAATGTGCCAAGGGATAACGGTGCAGGAAATGTTTGTAGAGCAGTATCGTACGTGCCGTGACTCCGCAAAAAAAGAATAACAGACAAAGAAAAGCTTGCAATTACTTTATTTTTGTCCCGAACTAGAGCGGTTCAATTTTTTCAACCATGTGGAAAGATTTTTGTCGCATAACTAGGCAATTCTGAGTTGATACAGTAAGCAGAACGATGAAATTGTGCTTGTGTCTGACTTGATCATATAAGAAGACAATTCTCAACTTATATAAGATTTGAGGCTTTGCATGGTGGGGTATCGGTATCGTTTTGGTTTGCGGTAACACCATGTGGTAATAACTACTGCTTAGAAGATATTAGTTCTGAAAAGAATCTTGTCCTGCTTATTATCATTTTTGCTAAGTAGTTTTTTGTTCTGATAAGAACAGTCCTGCTGTAAGTTTTAGTCATCGTCAGGAGACTGACGAGAGTTGGAGATGCTACTCCTTTTAGGATGTGTTAGGATTGGGAGTGCTTGCTGGGCATGCCCTGCTCGCTCGGGTGTGTCAGTTGGATGTGAGCCATGGGCATTGTGTTGAGGGATGCCCGCTGAGCGTCCTGCTCGCTCGACTGTGTCAGTTGGCTGTGAGCCTTGGGCATTGTGTTGAGGGATGCCCGCTGAGCGTCCTGCTCGCTTAGGTGTGTCAGTTGGCTGTGAGCCACGAGTGTTGCAACTTGGAATAACTGAATGCCATATGTGGCTTATGAAGTAGCCGATATCTTGTGGGACAGTGTCATGTTTGTGGATCTCAATAGCTTCTCTGATACGACGGGTGTACCAGTGTTTCTCTGGGGCTATGATTTCCGCTTGTTCCCAATCAACAACATGATCCAAATCAGCAGAGTGTTTGACAATTGCCGATTTGTCAAGTTCCCCTCTGCGGCCGTGAATTCTAAACTAACATTCACAAAATGAGCCATATTAGTACTTTATTTTTGTCAAAAAAAACCCAGCAGTTTGTAGTTTCCAACTATGTGGAAACAAATTAGATTATGCAATTGCAAGTTAGTTTATTTATGGAAGCAGCAGAGCCATGTAAAGTTGGTTTGGGTCCAAGCAGGTGGGCAGGGTAGTCTGAGTTTCATCCGTTGTTCAGTGGGGTCGCATGCTCCACAACAACACCTGGCTTTTGGCCTAAGCTGTTGATTAGTCAATTGGCTGCCATGTTTTTGTAATAAACACTGCTCGCAAAATTGAATTACCTGTGCTTTGCTTGGGCACTATGCAGTCGATATGGGCCAATTACAGGCATGTGTTTGTGCTTTTTAGAAATTTCTTCTCACTTAATTTTTAAATTTGCAACTTTTCAAACTGCATCATTTTCATAAACCGTTGTCAATCTTGGACAACTTACAGTCTCTGGTAGCAAACGGGGTATCAAAATGTAGCTAACAACATTCCCTAAAGGTCTATATAAATGGCATCAAGAATATCAGATTCAAAATTATGACCCCTCCAATGAGTGTGGACTTTCTTTTTTTGCGATGTTTACAACAATGGGTTAACGAAGAGTGTCATGGCCTAGCGGTTAAGAGCACCGGACTCATGTTCTGGTGTTTCAAAGGCAACAGTGATGTGGGTTCGAGCCTGCCGGCGGACACTTGTGCTCTTAAGCAAGGCAGTTAACCATTATTGCTCCGTCTTCGGATGGGACGTTAAGCCGTAGGTCCCGTGTGTTGTGTAATGCACGTAAAAGAACCCAGTAAACACTTATCGCTAAGAGAAGGGGTTTGCCCCGGTGTTTCTGGCCTCCTTGATAAACTCCCACATGGAGTATTTAGGAGAGGAACCAACCAAGAACCAAGAAGACTTGATAGAAGGTGCCCGCTGAATCTGGAGGTCACTACGCAGTCCTGTTTTGCATGATTAATCATCTGCAAGCATGTTATAGACGTGTGTTGTGCCAGGGGATATTCCATAGACTATGGGCCTGGGGTCATACTTGATCATAATATAGTTTTTCCCGGCCAATTTCCTAAAATGTGCATTCACTTCTGAAAATCGGTCATTCATTTTCGTCTGAATTTGAGAATCGCTCTAAACATGCATTTCATTTTCACTACCTGAGCATTCGATTCCATTTCAGTTCAATCAATTAAGTGATTGAGCAGCACCTTTTGTTTATGTCCAGTCAGATTCGTTTATAAGATTTCTTTTTCACTTCTAGAGGGCGATTTCAAACATTCAGCATTCTATTTCACTTTTAGTTTAATGCCATCGGCACCAGATACAATAAGGGGTTTCTTTTTCATTAACCGTCAATCAAATTAGCTGTACCTGAAATCAATTTAGACAAGGTATGCTTGTGTAAATGAATGCACAGGTAACGTAATTGGCTGTCTGTTTCTCAAAACCGAATGCATGGACAATGAAAACGATTGAACTTTCGTTGAATTGAAATGGGATTCAAGACGTGCATTCAAATTCAGTTGTACATGAATGACCGATTTTAAGAAGTAAATGAACATTTCAGGAAATTGGCCGGGAAACCTATAATATGGGCTCCGTGTGCCAACGAAAGAGGGCGCCCTTTTACCTAGCAACGACATCCGATGGGCGGGAAATTTAGCTGGTTGACGCGCACCGTTCCTTGTGTGTGAGGCACGTGCACCAGGGGATTTGTACTATGTACAGTGGTACAGCCGCGTGTGGTACAGCCGCGTGTTGCTGCAAAATTGCAGTCAGGCAAGATGGCGTCGGTTGGTCACCCCCAACTGTACTTTCTTTGCCAGTGAGGGGGTACTTGTGAACAGAGCGGATAACTGTGGATTGAAAAATAAAATAATTCCTTTTTTATGTAATCCTTTCTTCGTATAGATATTGATGAGTGTCGTATTCAGAATGGCGGTTGTACTGCAAGCTGCAGAAATTCGGAAGGTAGCTTTGCATGCGAATGCCCTGTGGGTAAAAGGCTGCATTCCGACGGCAGAACATGCGTTGGTGAGTAATAAATTAAGGACCAATTGGCTGGGGAGGGCTGAAAATGCTTTCAGTCCTTAAAGGGAAAATACAACATTTGCAAACATCGAAAAATAAACTACTAAGTTTTTACAAAATACCTTACTAGGATGTTGGTAAATGACAGTCTAAAGCATCCTGTAAAATTATGGCACCTGGTGTGAAGTCATTTTCAAGAAAATGGTATTTTTGTATACATTTCCAATGGTGGTTGGCCGACCACCGTTGGAAAAACCTAACTATTTTCAACTACTGCTCCAAATTTACCATTTTTTTCCAGTCCAAACTTTGTTTGCTATTGGTTACATGTTCATGAACGGGTGCAGGCCAGCTAGACTGGCATCAATACATTGATCCATTTCATCTTTAGTGGAGTCAGGGAACCAGACTACTTGAACATTTTTGTTTTTCTTGGTTTTTCCAGCATTTTCAAACACAAAACTTCAAACATGTCAGTGTAACAATATTTGATCTATTATATTAAACCCCTCAAATAGTTCATTTCTGAAAATTACAGCAAAAGCCAATAATGTACATTCCCTTTAAAGTTAACTTCTTTTTTTAATAGTTGTTAGCTGATATTCAATAATTGCTAGAAATGTTCCCAGTTTTACATTTTTCAGAAAGTTGGGCAAATTTGATATACATTATAAGAAATGTTCCTGAAATATTTATCACAAAAAGCCCAAAAGTAGGCCTAATTGAAAAAAGTTAAGATTTTACGCAGACATTTGGCCTTTCACGCAAATGATGGATCCAATTTGAAAACTCCTGTTAAACGGTTTGATTGGTACAATTTATTTTTAAAACCAAAACTCACTAAGCGCTTTTTATTTTCTTAAAAAACAAACATGACGTTATATCAGAAAAAAAAGAAGTTTTGGGAGCAACATTACCTTTAAAGGGAAAATACATCATTGGCTTTTGCTGTCATTTTCAAAAATGAACTATTTGAGGGGTTAGTGTAATAGATCAGATATTGTTACACTGACATGTTTGAAGTTTTGTGTTCGAAAATGCTGGAAAAACCAAGAAAAACAAAACTGTTCAAGTAGTCTGGTTCCCTGACTCCACTAAATATAAAATGGATCAATTTACAGATGCCGGAAAATTGTAAGGTAAGGGTACCAGTCTAGCCAACCTGCACCTGTTCATGAACATGTAACCAATAGCAAACAAAATTTGGACTGAATTAATGGTAAATTTGGAGAAGTAGTTGAAAAATAGTTAAATTTTTCCGACGGTGGTCGGCCGACCACCGCTGGAAACTTTTACAAAAATACCACTTTCTTGAAAATGACCTCACACCAGGTGCCCTAATTTTACAGGATGCTTTAGACTGTCATTTACCAACATCCTAGTAAGGTATTTCGTAAAAACTTGGTAGTTTTATTTTTCGATGTTTGCAAATGTTGTATATTCCCTTTAATACAGCAGTTTTCTTTTTAGGGGGTGGGGGGGGGGGGTTGGGGGTGGGTTGGTATATTAGAACAAGTTGTGTATTGTATTCGCATCACTCCTCAGCATAACATTTTCGTTCCTAATTTTACACCGTGCCTATGGAAACTGCAAACACCAAAACTGACGTTCAAAAACCAAAACCGCCACACTTCCTGCAATTTTGTTATCACGAGTTGGGCACGGGTCTCCAGTTCCCCAAGCAAGTGTAGGCGCATCGACGGTCGGCCACATTGGGCAAACTAGAAGGGCTACTACCTGAAACATATTCTCCCTCCCCTGTAAGATCAGCCTCATGCCCAGATTTTCTGTGCCTGCTACGCACACAGCATGGTATAAGCTTCGGAGACGGTGCCACAACACGCACTTCCTAGACGTACACCGCTAAGCCTAACCACACCCGATACATGACCTATATTTCCAACCATATGTGGGTTTAATATCCTCACTAGAGAGCCAAAAAGAGGTGATTTTTTTCTGCGAGTCAGCACAATTGTATAATTTTTTTTTAACATGTAATAAATTTGTAAAGGTAAAACAAGTTGTTTGCCTCTCATTTTAAGAATTCCCAATCCAGGATCCTTCCTTTTTGATTGTTTCTGACTTAACATAAATTTTTGCTTGCAACCTTATATCAAAGATCTAAACACCATACGAAAAAAATTCTCACTTTCAGAATGTCGATACAGCGCTGGAGACGGTGGCCGAAGGCGCGTGCTGCGACCGAAAAGTTTTGAAGGAATGCAGGATCACCCCTGATGTCATTGCACACCTTCTCGATCGTGTGTTGCGCCAAACGATCGAGGAGGTGTGCAATGATATCAGGGGTGATCCTGCATTCCTTCAGAAGCTTTCCGCTGCAGCATGCACCTTCCGCCATCGTCTCCAGCGCTGTATTGACATTGGAGGACGCCAAGTCGAAAGTGGCAGATTCTGAAATTGAGTATTTCTTTCATATGGCGTTTAAATCTCACCCTCTTGCACAAAGCTGATGAAACTCGCTCCATAAAATTTGTCATGCCTTGTTTACACGATCTGAACTTTTGGTATAATTCCATTTGTAAACAAGAAAGTTATTTTGAATTCAAAGTAGTTCTTTTTTTTTTTAATACACATTAGTATGTCCATCAAAGTTACATCTAGATCACAGTGAAATGACAAGCAAGGCCTAAATTAACAGGACATTAAACCTAACCGCCCTGAATCCTTCAAAATCCTCATTGCCAAAGTGGAGGAATTTGGAGGATTGAGATTACAAGGCAAAAGTGCGTTACTGATTTCATAGGATGCACTTTGTCAAGATCTTGGGCCGGACCTTGTGTTGTTTTTTGCTCAGCCGTGCATAAATATAGGCCTTGATTATGCTTGAAATCCTCCGTACTGCTCCAGGATGTCACTGGCCAAGCCTCAACATATTTGCAGTCACTGCCGCAGGATTTTGCAGGATTCAGGCAGTGGTCACCCCTCCACAGACCATATTCAAGAAATAATGGAGGAATTTACAGGAATTAGGCTATATGCTTTTTTCCATGAGGCCAATTGGAGGATTTTGAAGATTGCGGCTACATCCTAGCAAAAAGGCCTAGGGAGTTAGGGTTTACAGATATCTAAAATGCCTTTGTCGCACTTTATTCAAATAGTTTGTGTTTTTAATCGAAATTTGAGGATTTGTGACGACATGTGAGGATTATGAGGACTTGTCAAAATTTTCAAGGACTCGGTCTGGTACCACAGCTTCATATGCCACTTTTCTTGCTTGATTTACAGCTGAAGATCCTTGCCTGGTCAGAAAAGGTGGCTGTGAGCATGAGTGTATATCACAGCCCAACGGTCACTACACCTGCCAATGCTACGATGGCTTCAAGTTGTCACCCAACGGAATGTCATGTGAACGTGAGTATAGGGTTACTTTGTTTTAAAGGGATATTCATAAATACCTAAGACAGTTAACCCATTCCTATTGGTCGAGAGCCTGTCACGTGGCCGGTCTTAAACAAATGATAAAGACATGGCTAGCTAGTCTTAAACACTTTTTCAGTGTCACATGAAATTTGGACTCCTAAAAATCCAGTGCCTCTTACCGTTTTATTGGTTGAACTTGAACATTCACAATCCTCACGTAGGCACGCGCAATGCTACCAGTGAGTCAGTATTTTATAGTCCTAAATTCACAATGCAACGCCCCAGGTGCATTCTGTACGACATCCCGAGTGCCAATCTAGATGAATCCGATCACGTGATCACTGTACACTCACAAGGCCCCCTTCAATGGAGAAGCCATTGTGCTTGCTATTGTACAAAGCAACTGCCCCGTGACGGATTATCTTTCACTCCCACCCCCGCCCTGCGAACGGGATGCTGGGAAGGGCTGATCTCTTTGAGCTCTCATTGGATGGATTTTGCGTGACCTGTAACGCAGCACGCAAACTCCCTACAGCTGTTTATCATACGTAGGGCGCTAGCTGCAGCAGACGTCTTGATAAGTTACCCAGAATGCCATCTGTACTTCCTTGACAAGATTCTGTGAACCGGATTAGCCCTTCCCAGCACCCTGTTTGCAGGGCGGGGGTTACGAGCGAAGGATTATCTAAACAACAGCTAGCACAATGCATGCGCCGTTGAAAAGGGCTGGCCGCCATGATAGATGTGATAGCTCGCCCACCCTGAGAAGTAACTGTTTTCCTGTTTGTTGAATTTAATGGATTTGATTTGGATTCCTCTTTATCTCCTAAAGGTGCATATTCCTGTAGGGTAGAGAACGGGGGCTGCCAACATAAATGCATGACCTATGAGGACAACGTCCGATGCAGCTGTGATACTGGATACGCTCTGATGCCAGATATGAAAAGATGCACTGGTAAAAATCACACATTGTGTTTCATCCTATCAATTCGATTTGTTATGCACACGGGATATGTAACAGTCTCAGGACACATTTTTTTTCATTAATTTTTTCATATGCTATAAAGGGAATAATTATACACATTTGCTTTTGCTGTAATTTTCAGAAATGGATGGATTTAGGGGGTTAGTATTTCATAGCAAGTATTGTTACACTGACTTGTTTGAAGTTTTGTGTTCGTAGATGCTGGAAAAACCAAGAAAAACAATCGTGTTCCTGTAGTCTAGTTCCTGTAGTCTTGTTCCTTGACCCCACTTAAGATGAAACAGAGCAATTTATAGGGGTTAAGGAATTGTAAGGTCAGGGAACCAGTCTAGCTGGCTTGTACCTGTTCATACGTGTAGGTGTGTAATCGCTTGCAAACAAATGCGGACTAACTAAATATGGTAAATTGGGGGCAGTATTTGAACATTGCCAGTGTTGGAAATTGATACAAAAATACCACTGTTCTTGAAAATGACAGCACACTAGGTGCCATAATTTTACAGGATGCTTTAGATCGTCATTCACTAACAGTTTAGTAAGGTATTTCATAATAATTTTGTAGTTTTGTTTTTTTGATGTTTGCAAATGTTGTGTATTCCCTTCAAAAAAAATTATGGCATTGTTCGTATTTTGACAGATAAGAATGAATGCGATCTTGGGTATCACTCATGCTCCCACATTTGCGTAAACACCGAGGGCTCGTTTCGCTGCGACTGCCCGGAAGGTTACTTGCTGGATGGAGACGGTGTCACATGTTCACGTGAGTAACGAGGATTGTTCGTAAGCAGCCGACATACAAAGTTATGCTGTTTACTAACTGTTTCACTGTCGAGTTGTACAAAGAACAAGCGGCATACAATCTGCAAATTTAACATCTCAAGAAAAATATTATAAAAAATAGGTACATGTATTACATATGTTCATCTTTTATTGAAAGGGCCAATGCAATGTAATTTTTTTTTATGTAATACTTGAAAATGCACCTTGTTTCCCATTTAACCTTATTTTCAATTTTCATTTTGCAATTTTCAAGGATATTTGAACCAATTTTCAAGGATATTTGAACCAATTTTCAATTTCTTTTTGCGACAACAGATGACTCGACAGTGCGTTTGACGCCAGTGAATCCATGCGACAATCTACAGTGCCAGCACAACTGCACGCTTACTCGTAGCAACAATGCACTGTGTACCTGCCCAATCGGCTTCCAGCTACAGCCCGACAGGTTGACGTGTGCTGGTAAGAAAGAACGCGGTCCAGAGCCGTTCACTCCGTGCACGAACATAGATTGCGCTTTTTTGGCCACTTTTGAGAGTGGGCGCAATCACACCTTGTGCACTTACTGGTTCGCCACAAGAATGGTGCAAAGTACACACATTGATGCCACTTTCCCAGTTTTAGCCGGAATTTCAGTTTTTAAAAAATCTCACAAAATTCCGTTTTTCTTTCCTTGTTGAATTTTACCTCGTTAGCGCTCTCGAGTTACGTAGGCCTACATGTTGTAAGGATTGCACACGCACGGCACAACGTTGTTCATTGAAGTAGTCTTAAAAAAAGTCTTTGTTGTTGCTGAGCCTGCATGCGATACAGGTGGCCAATGTACTTGCGCGCAGTATACAACGGCGCCTCGCGTGCTGCTCCGCGTGCGGGCGTGTTGTGTGCTAAGCACACGTAGCATTCAGCCTGGAAATCAAGTCTATCATTTCAGTTATCTGTGGTTTCCGATCGCTGTGATATATGTGAATACAAAAAACGCCAGGTACCAACCATGTTTTCGTTGAGCGCATCGCGTAGGTAATGGTCATGTACACCAACACCGACAGTGTTGTGGAATTGTGCATGTTTCGTGTCGAATAAACGTTGGAAATTCGGGACTTCTCATGAATGCCATTACAAATTGATAATACTGTACAAAGTCTTGTGTGGTTTGGAGTTTCCTCGTTTTTCCCAGTTGCATGCCTGCCACTGGAAATTTGTTAGTCCTATAATAAAGTGACCATGGTTTAACAGGTTTAGAAATTGGGTGCTCCCTCCCCCTCCCACCCACAATTAAACATCCAGCCCCCTCCCCCACTGGCCCTCCTATGTTGAGAACCCTGGCTACGCCACTGAATGGGAACGGGTAGTGGGAACACCAAACTGGCTTGTAATTGCCCTGATTAGTTTTTGATTAGTTTCTTCAACCACTAGAGGGCGCTTTGCATGCCGACCTATAATCAACTTCTCTGTGTCTTGTTTCACCTTCAGACGAGAACGAATGCGCCAACGACCAGTCCTGCTGCAGTCAACTCTGCTACAATAACGAGGGTGGTTACTCCTGTGGCTGCTATGCCGGGTACCAACTAAGCCAAGATGGCTGCAACTGTGACGGTGTGTAAAAAGGTCTATTGGGGGGGGGGGGAATATCATGCTTGTTAAAGCAAGCATTTCTGAAATGTTATATCTCTCTTGATAGTGCCTCTAGAATGATGTCTTAAAGCTTTGACTGAACTTTAAAACTTCGACTCATCTGTTTTTCCAGACGTTTGTCAGGAAACTTACCCAAATCCTAAAATTGGTATTAAAAAAATCAACCTGTCATCAGTTTTAGGTTATTACTCTTTTTGAAGAACCAAGTTCTGCCTGATTTTGAGTTTTTTTGACAAACTTATATCAGAAACTGTTCTCATTAGTTTTCAATTAGAGGATTTTGGGCTGATTTGAAATATATGGTAATGCTGAACTCTTGTTTTCTAGGTTCTCTTATATTTGTTGAAATTTACTGGAGCGGCGTGTGAACCTGCGACTTTCAGGTTGCCCATTTGGTACTTTACTAACCCAGTTAGCCAGCCCTATTTTGGTAGCGCACTGGAATGACAGTCTAGAGGTTGCAGGTTCAAACCCTTCTCCACTCAAGTTTCTTTATTTGACCTTTAGAAATTATTACAATGCACAGAGTCAGTTCCCTTTGGGATTTATTTGAATTCATAAACAAATTTTCTATTATTTAACCTTTGACCTTCAGATGTGGATGAATGCGTCAACAACAGAGGGGGCTGTGAGCAGTTGTGTCGCAACGTTGACGGGTCGTACAGATGCTACTGCAACCAGGGTTATGAACTCGATGGCGACGGCCGAAGCTGCATACGTAAGATTACCCTCGGACCATCAAACATAACTTACACGCAGGCATGCAACTTTTCCTCGAGTCCCCTGATTTCATCGATTTTAACTTCTCATGAATGCCGTTGCAACTTTAAACCACACAAGTCGTGTGTGGTTAGGAATTCCCAGTTGCCTGCCTGTACATGGATGACATTTGATTAGGAACGGTAGTCGACGTTAGTTTGTTATCAAAGGTTGTGCATTGTTTTTCACGCAAACCGTAGTATCCACTGAGCTGAAACTTAAACAGGTTGGTTTTGAGCTTTCTTCTTTGAATTTTGAGTGGTGGTATTATTGCAACGAACAAAATGCATGAAAAGCAAATGATCCGATATAGTTTTCAGGATATTTTCACGTGTCGTGGACTTTTTTTTTCACTTCAGGTGTTCTTCCACCTGTCAACCCGACCAATCAGGCGTTCGAAGAGCCACCAGTCCGGACGAGTAAGTAGCACTTTTCTCTCTTCATTGCCATGACAACACGCTAGCAACATCACCATAGCAACCAGAGAGTAAGAAATCTTATATGGTTTCCCTGGTGTTCTGTGAAGACGTTTTAAGGGGGGGGGGGGGAGAGACACTTGGGATGAAAGGCAGTGTAAGTAATTTTGAAAGGCACGTACGATCATTGGTAATTGCTCGGGGTATTTTTATGTATATTGTTCTTGCTTCATACTGCAGTCCATAACATTCACTGTTATAACACCAGATCACATCATAATCTCTGTCTTCCTTTCACTCACACATCTTATTTATTAAATTCCATTAAGAATATTTTTCAAGGCATCAGATTAATTGCAGATGCTATTTTCTTCCTGATCATCATCTTTGTAGAGTGTCTCTTCGGTGCGTTTGGACCAGACTGCGAGTTCAGCTGTTCCGATTGCCAGAACGGCGCGCTGTGCAATTTCAAGCAAGACGCTTGCGACTGTCCGCCAGGCTGGACCGGTCACATCTGCAATGAGAGTAAGTACTCTACCACTTGTGTTTTGAGTTTAATTTTGGGACCCCGCGATTCAATAGTTATGTTGTTCTAATTCATGTGCCATGGTATGTGGATTTTGACTCTGACAGTGAACATGGGGTGCTCGTGCTCTTGGGCGCAAGACACTTTACCCAGACAGGGGACATGGTGCTTATGTTCTTGGGCAAGACACTTTATCCAGACAGGGAACATGGTGCTCATGTTCTTGAGCAAGACACTTTACCCATACTAGGAACATGGTGCTTGTGTTCTGGGCAAGACACTTGACCCAGAAGGGAACATGGTACTAGTGTTCTTGGGCAAGACACTTTATCCAGACAGGGAACATGTTGCTTGTGTTCTTGGGCAAGACACTTTACTCAGACAGGGAACATGGTGCTTGTGTTCTTGGGCAAGACACTTTACCGAGACAGGGAACAAGGTGCTTGTGTTCTTGGGCAAGACACTTTACCCAGACAGGGAACATAGTGCTTGTGTTCTTGGGCTAGACACTTTATCCAGACAGGGAACATGGTGCTTGTGTTCTTGGGCAAGACACTTTACCCAGACAGAAACATGGTGCTTGTGTTCTTGGGCAAGATACTTGACCCAGACGGGGAACATGGTGCTTGTGTTCTTGGGCAAGACACTTTACTGAGACAGGGAACATGGTGCACGTGTTCTTTGGCAGGACACTTTACTGCAACTGCCTCTGTCCAGCAAAGATTATAAATCGGTGCATGTGAGGGTAGATACGACAGTGTACTGGTCTCAAACTATTATAGGAAAGTGGTCTCACAGCCTGATGAACAGGGGTAATAATTGTGCAGCAGTCAGAGTCTTTCACTCTTGTTGATACGAACATTTCTCTGTTTTGTTACAGCTTGCCCGTCGAATACTTTTGGTCAGGGTTGCAATGAGGTTTGTCCTTGCATCAACGGTGGCACATGTGACCCTGTCAACGGCGCTTGTACGTGTCCAGTTGGATTCAAAGGAGAATACTGCAGCGACGGTAAGCAATATGTTATAGTTTGCTGGTACCCATCACCCTATCCAAGGGGACCAGTGATCGTAATTTCTTTGAGCTCTGGTTTGATAGATTTTCGGGTCAGCACAACGACTTATGTGCAACATCATTGAGTGTGTTTGACCTTCAACGTATCATGTGAAAGAGTTCTTCTTGACTGCCCAATAAGAGTGTATGAGTTTCTTAAAATGAGTTAATGAGTTTCCAAAAGAAAATGATGTATTTGTCATTCTCACCCCACCCCAACCCTACCCCTACCCCCTCCCCTACCCCCTACCCCCTCCCCTACCCCCTCCCCTACCCCCTACCCCTACCCCCTACCCCCTACCCCCTACCCCCTACCCCCTACCCCCTACCCCCTACCCCTTACCCCTACCCCCTACCCCTTACCCCTACCCCCTACCCCTTACCCCTACCCCCTACCTAGCTCTACCCCCACCCCTCACAGTCATCTGCATATATTTCCCCACTGCTTTTGAAGCTGAAAGCATTTTTTTTTTGAAAACATTTTAGTGGGACATGTAATTGCGACTGTCCAAAATCGCCCCTCATTAAACTGAGGTTTTTGAATTAATTTAGTGTCGTTGAGGAATATTTTCTCTGTCTTCATCATTCAGGCTGCCCGGTTGGAATGTTTGGAGATAACTGCGACCGCTACTGTAACTGCCCCAGCGGTGTGCCCTGCGATAAACGCTACGGCTCCTGTCTGTGCCCAGGCTCGTTTGGACCTTTCTGCAACCAAAGTCAGTATACTCAAACACATTGTAATATATAACTGGCACTTATCATAAACTTTATGTAAACACCTGCTTTCAATGTTAACCACATGCGTTATACTGTCAAGAGTTTATAGTCTTGCCCTGCCTTCTACTTGGCTACCCCGGAGACTTATGGGATTATTCTGATATCGTTTTCAAGATACGACATGGTTTCAATTTACTGAAATATCACGTACCTTTAATGTGATCCGTGGACAAAATTGTGAAACCGTGTTTGTGTTCAAAATTTCATAACTTGAAAAGTACATGAGTGATTTCAATGATTCTTGTACTAACAGAAAGCTTATTAATTGGGCTTTCAGATCCTAGATCTAGAATGCGCTACATGCACAACTTCTTTACAAAATAGGGGGCGCCATTTGGGTTTTCTTTTTTTGTACTCACCATGTAGAACAACAGATATGAGTATTTGCCTTTGCCCAGGCATGCAACTTTTCCTCGGATAAACTGATTTCCTTGTTTTTCACTTATGCATGACATCAAAATTTGACAAACACTTTATATAGTCTTGTATTACGTTATTTCATCTCCAATTTTTTTTTTTTTGACAGAATGCCCGGATTTCTATTTTGGAACTGGCTGCACGGAGCTCTGTGATTGCAACAGTCACTTCTCCACGGGATGCGACGCTCTGCAGGGAACGTGCAACTGCAAGCCAGGCTACGAGGGCGCAAGATGCGAAAAAGGTTAGTTTTTTACAATTTCGAGCTTGGTGACCGGAGGTAGAACATGGAAGGGTTTGGGTGGCTAGATCCTGTGGGATTCCAACCTTTTGGCATTTAAATTCTACTTCTGTGACTCAAATGCTAAATTCTACCCCTGGTTCGAATCCCGCTGATATTTGGATATTTTTTTTCATACCCTTCCTCATAGTGTGGGTTTTCCTCTCAGAATATTTATTATGTGATTTTCTCCCACCTCCAAACTTGAAGGGGAGTGTTGCCTAGTGGTTAGGGTGACTGACTCATGATCAGAGGGTCAGGAGTTCGAATCCAGCTGCTGGCCATATGTTGTGTCCTAGGGCAAGCCACTTTACCCCACTTGCCTCTCTCCACCCAGGAGTATAAATGGGTACTGACATTAGCTGGGGAGTAACCTGTGATGGACTGGCATCCCATCCAGGGTGAATAGAAATATTCACAGTTGTTTCATGCCAAGGAAACCGGAGATAAACACCGGCCTGATGGGCCATATTGGCTTGTGACAGACTTCACTACGTTTCCAAACCGTAGCACGTGTTCATTGTATACAAAGGTTTCTTAAGGACTGTGCAATGCTCTTTTATGCACTTACGAGGAATTTTTTGAGGTTTCATACCAGAAATAAATGATACATTTTTGTCTTCGCAGAATGTCCATCGGGATTGTGGGGCGAGCAGTGCCGTCACGTCTGTCAGTGTCGCGATGTCTCGTCTTGCAGCAAGGTCACCGGTGACTGCTCCCGCGAGTGCCCAGCCGGCTACTATGGGCAAGCCTGCGAACATCGTAAGTCAACCAGCCAAACAATGCTTGTAGTAGCAACATGCCTGTTTGACCTTTCACTGGTACTCTGCCAAGCAGTGGCCAGTTAGGTTTTCCTGCACGCGCAAGTGCAACTTGAAAGTGAGGCTATGGTACTCAAAGCGAGGCTTGTGTTGAAAATTAAATCCTGAGTGCCAGTATGGGGACTTTCACTGGTACTCTGTCAAGCTGCGGCCTGTTTCTCTGCACATAAGTGCAACTTGAAAGTGAGGCTATGGCACTTGAAAGTGAGGCTCCTGTTTAAAATTAAAACTGGCGGTCAAATATGGAGACCAATTTCGCAGGTATCTGAAAGGATTGTCTTCAAAATGGCTTCTGTATTTCATATGTGGAGTTGTTATATTTCTGCTTATATCTTGCATTTTTGCACTTTGACCAAAAAAACAGATTGCAAAAAGAAAAAAAAACATTCAAAATGCAGCTAGGAAAGGCAAGTTAGAAAAAGGAACTTTCTGAATTAGAAAAATGCTTGATTTTTGGTGATATTGTAGCTTTGTCACAAAATGTCGTAGGCTTGAGGCAATAATTGCAAAAAAGCTTGTCAACTCTTGCATATTTCTCTTGTTTAATTCCTGAGAATCAAACAAATTCTTTCGGTTTGCAGAAGGCTTATAAAAAAGGTACTTGTAGAATTGTTGAAACCTCCTGTTGTGATTTCTGTGATTTCTGACAATTTTCAATCATGTTATTTTTTGTTTTCTTTTTCATATTTCAAGCATGAAGCAAAAACAAAAGTTCATACACATACGAGCATGCCGCAATGGTACATGTATACCAAAAATACAGGCACAGTGATGTAGCGTTAAAACATTCGAAGCAGTATGTTATATCGTTCAGAAATAGCTAGGGGTGCATGTGCATCGGAAGTGGGTACCCTGAGTAACTCCACCGCTGATGTCGGGAACCGGTGTAGCATGAATTTAGGTTTTATGAAATACGGACTCACTGGTGGTATTGCGCATGCTCATGCATAGATAATTTGGGCGATTCACAATGCAGTGCGCCACCAAGAGTTTGCCACGAAGAGTTCATTTTTCTCAGTGCATTGTGGGAGATGGTCGACAAATTCACAGCGCGGGACATTTGAAATTGTTCGTTTTTCCAGTCAGTAGTTTCGTAAAGTTATGCTTCGAGTATCTGTTTGCTCTTTTTTTTTTTTTTTTATCAATGTGTTTTTTTTGTGAGGCGGCAGAACGCTATGCCCCAATCTATAACAAATTAGTTCAAGTTGTCTACTGACACCCATTCAAATGGGCCATGTTTTGTCGACCGTAAACTAGAAAAATGGATTCTCCACGGCAAACTCTTGTTGGCGCACTGCATTGTGAATCGCCCAAATTAGGAGAGGGACCGGTCACGTGAGAGGGTTTAACCAATAAAAGGGAAAAGAGTCCGATTTTCATACAAGTCCGATTTTCATATGACACCAGTTCCAGATTTTGGAATTGGGTATCGTAACCAACTGTACAATTTACTTAGTACCTTCTCAGACAATGAAAAGAAAAGTTTTGAATGCCATTTGTGGGGAATTTTCAAAATGAAAACCCGGCTTCTTGGTAAAACCAAAACAGATTTCACAGTTATGTGCATTTTAACATGCAAAAAATTATGCTCGCGAAAGTTGCAGTTTACACCTTAAAGCTATATTAAAAGCCCTTGAGACAACTTTCTGGATTTGAATTTTAAGGTTGGGTTTCTTTTATGGGTACCCGGATACCCGTGTTCTACTTCAACAGGGTATCCGTACTATCTGAAAATGCCCACCACTAGAAATAGCACCATCGTATTCATGCGAAAGCTCATGAAAAAAAGTCGTAAAAGTTTCTTTTCTTTTCGTTTTTACCAGTTCAAAGCGTGTGCACTACATCACTGTGTCTTTTGGTCTTTATTTTATAAAACAAAACAAAAAAGTGACTCACTTACAGAAAATTACGGAAACATACTTCCAAATGTGAGAAAGTTTTAGAAAGCCTTTACTTTATAAAAAAAAAATTGAGAAAAGGTTTCATTTGCCAGAAATCTGTCCAATAGAAAGTGAATCTAAAAGTCTAGTGACGAGTGGAATTTTGTTGAAAGCTTGAAAAAAAAGAAGACGTTCAACCGTTATTTTCTGTGAGTGGGTCACAATCACACAATTGAATTCTTCATGCTGCTGTTTCATGTATCATATTTTTGTTTTGATCATCCTGCCCCTTTGCCCCTCCCCCCAATCTCGTATCGTCCACCCACACGCAGTGTGCGAATACGGGCAATACGGCGTGAACTGCAAATTTGACTGCCGCTGCGGCGGCAACGACTGCAATAAGATCACGGGTGCATGTTTCTGTTCGGCTGGCTGGAGGGGTGTTGATTGCGCTGAGGGTGAGAATGGACGCTGAATTGCCTGGGGCGTGTTTTCGTGACTGTGACCAGAAACATGTTTCAGCTTTGGTCATTGGTTGAGTGTTTTGGCGACTTCGGTTGGCTGGAGTGACGTCACTGTTCCAACCAAAACTGAACCAAGGCCAAGGGTCGGTTACGGATAGCTCCATGGTTACGGAGTGCATTTCAAGATGGCGGAAAGATAAATACATGACATGTAACAAAACAGTGTTGCGGAAATAAGCTTGTAATGCTTATTTTTAATACGTACATCGATCGTAAGTTTGTAGATTTTAAGTGACCTGTAATAAAATGTCTAAACAACTTACAAGCCCACAAGGTATTATCCCAAATTTCGCCGGGACTGGCCGCGAATAACTAAAAATTATTGATGTTGTCAAAATGTCCGCCATGTTTGTTTACAGCTTTTTGACACAGTTTTCGGTGCAGCATTTTTGTGCGCATGTGTAAACATGTTTCTGGTTATCAATTTGACGTCACAAACATGCTTCTGGTCGCGGTCACAAAAACACGCCCCTGTATGTCATGCGTAGGGTCACCTAGGGTCGTGGGAAATAAAGGGCGTATATATATTTGGACTGTACAGGCAATATCAGGTTCCAAAACGCAAACACGAACATCACAGCATTTGAACAAAATGATGATAAGGATGACGATGTTTCAGTTGTCGTGATGAAACCAAGGAGTCTTCACAGGTGAAGCATTGTATCTTGCAAGCCTGAAGAATCCTGAAACCTTGTTTCAATTGTTTTTTTACACTTACAATTTTGAAGAACTTTAGAGGTATTTGAAAGATTATCTTGTTATGTCAGATCTCGCGCTGAAGACTTTCACGCAGCTGATCTGTTAATCTGAAGAGATTTGATTTGACCCAGTTCTCACAGTTTTCGAAATTCAAAATCTCTGCAAAGATCGCTGCAAAAGATTCTTTATCTATTTTGTTTATTTAATTCTTAGTTCAACTTGGTAGCCCATTCAGTGGAATCCACTGGTCTCCCATGAGGCCCAGTAAAGAGAAGACAATGTGAAGGAATTACAGTTTCAGAGGTGGGAGAAAACCCAGAAGAATATTCTGAGAAAAACCCACGAAATCAAATAAGGACTGAAAACCCAATCCACATATTGGCCCAGGCGGGATTCGAACCTGGGTCACAGGGGTGGTAGGCGAGGAAAGTACCACTAAGCCAACATGACTCCAAGACTCTAAAGGGTCTGTGCGTAAACGGGTGATGGCAGTCTTCTAACGAAATGACGTCACGTTAACTACGGACAAATATATACATTGAAATCATCACTGTGTACAAAACAGTGCAAATCCTGTATGTAGAAATCATCGTCATCACCAATACAGAAAATCACAATATTTGTTACCGCTGTGATTCTAGCGCCCATTTCCATGACACCTATTTGGCCATGCATGCATGCATCTTTCTTTTAAGCTTAAAAGCATGATAGCTTCTTAGCATGTAGCTTATTACGTAGCAATTAGCATGTAGCTTATAGTCTAACTGTGCTGTTGTGTATTTTAGTTTTCATAAAAATCCATTTTTATCACAAGCCATTTCTTTCTACTAATATATCTGGGGTTTTATTTTTGTCACGACTGACTTCTTTGTTGTTGAAAAACCAAACTTGTTATCTGGTGTGACATTTGACCACAAGTAACACAGGTCATTTGGAGGTCAATCACAAGTCATGTGACATTATATTCATATATTTATATATGTATTTATTTCTGGTAATGAAACCAAGGATTCCTCAAAAGTGCCCAAGGCACTGTAGCTCGCAAGCCTGAAGAAACCTGTAGAGAGAAGACAATGAAAAGAAATGACAGTTTTAGAGGTGGGAGGAAAACCCCAGAAGAATATTCTGGGAAAACCCACGGAATCAGGCAGGGACTGAAAACCCAATCCACATGTGGACCAGGGCAGGAATCGAACCCAGGCCACAGCGTTGGAATGCAAGGACAGTAACCACTGCGCCAACCTCACACCTTCATTGTTCCATCTGAACTCAATTGTGAATTAACTTGTGATTGAGTAAAAGTGTCAACTAAACCTCTAAGAATGATGCTGAGAAATGACAGACAAGGATTTTTTGACATGTGATAGTTGTAGTTGGAAGCCAATGACAGACATTCAATGTAAAAATGTTTAGCAGACTTTTTGCCGTCTTGTGAAAGTAGAAACGCTAAATGTTTCTTGGCCAGCAGGCTTTTAGGAAGACCAAAATTGTGCACATGTATATGTAGTGCTTTAGTATGTAGCTGCACTTCTAGCCTAGTTACATGTCATCACTCTGGCTTCTGAAAATGAAGAAACTCAAAGGCTTACTTGAATTTTAAAACGTTGGTAATGTGTTGTTCCAACACATAGATCAGCTCATCTTGTTTGTGTGCATGTTGGTGTTGGTAGCTTATACTAGAATTCAAAATTTAGCCGAAAGCATATGTACACTAATTTTGACAAATAACTATCACCATGATTTTTGCACATGTGGCTAAAAATAAGTTGTGTAAACAATGTAAAAGATGATAAATCCATGTAAATGTTTACAATTAACGCAATTGTGTTGCATCTGTCAAATGTGACAACAAAATAACACACTGATGTTTAAACTTGTTGAAATGTTATCAAAGAAACACCATATGTGTTCAAACTTGTCGAAAGTGACATGTTCTCAAAATAACACCATGAGTTGTCTAACTTGTTGAAGTGTTCTCAAAATAACACAATATGTGTTCAAACTTGTCGAAAGTGTTCTCAAAATAACACCATGAGTTGTCTAACTTGTTGAAGTTTTCTCAAAATAACACCGTGTGTGTTCAAACTTGTTGAAAAGTTCTCAAAATAACCCCATGAGTTGTCTAACTTGCGGAAGTGTTCTCAGAAAACACTGTGTGTTCAAACCTGTTGAAAAAGTTCTCAAAATAACACCATGAGTTGTCTAACTTGTCAAAGTGTTCTCAAAATAACTCCATGAGTGTTTAAACTTGTTCTAAAAATAACACCAAGTGTGGTCACATCTGTCAAACATTTCCCCAAAATAACACCATGATTGGTCTAACTTGGTTGAAGGTGTTCTTAATCTCAAACTCGGAATAACACCACGAATGGTCAAACTCATATCACTCAAATTGTCAACTTGTAACATTTTCTCTTGCAATTCCTAATCCCTCAATTTGCTGACAGAATGTTTGGATGGAACGTGGGGCGTGGATTGCAAGCAGAACTGCAGCTGTCCGCTGATCAGTCAGCTGTGCGACAAAAGCAACGGCGAGTGTCTCTGCCCGCTGGGCTTCTTCGGAGCAAACTGCACCACCAGTAAGTTCCGAAAACTTGAATTGTTGAGCAAGTCTTAAAGCGAGGGCTATGGTTAACCATAGTTTGGCTAACTTCGCTCAAACCCAGGATGGTTGAACTACTCTAGTCAACTATTTGGAACTGGACCAAGAAGCACAGTTGCTTCGCTGGTTACCAATAACCCTGTGCATAATAACGCACAGCAGGGAGCCAAGACCCAGAAGTTTTGTGATGACGTTTTGACCAGCGGTCGACTCACTGATCTCTATATAAAGACCGGATAGCGTATGCCCACACGCCGTACATTTTGTCGGGTGCACCACGAATTGACGTATCGTCATTGGACTTTGTGCACACGATACGTCACTTCGTGGTGCGACCGACGATTTACTTATTATCGCTTTTTGACCAGTTTGCCCCAGTCTTCCAAATAATTCTCGTCTATAACACAGTTGTGTTCCCTTAGTTCTGTTGAACACAAATAAATGGGCCTCCAAAAAACCACCAAATTATATAATGGATGGTGTTGTTCTCAAGAGATTTGGAACTAGAATTGGTTGATTTCATGATATAATGAAGTATAGGGAATCAGATAGAATTGTTGAACTTTCAACATTAACTTATTATCACTTTTTGACCAGTTTGCCCCGGTCTTCCAAAAATATTCTAGTCGGAAATAATGCAGTTGTATTCCCATTGTTCTTTTGAACGCAAATAAATGGCCCTCTAGAATTGGTTGATTTCATGATAAAATGAATCAGATAGAATTGTTGAACTTTTAATATGCTTTTGGTCAAAATTTGCAAACTCTAGTTTCATTTTTTTTTTTCTCTTTTTCCGTTCCTAGGGTGTCCCCGCGGCCACTACGGTCTGATGTGCCGTCATCAGTGCCAGTGCCAAAACGGAGGGGCTTGCAACGCCGAGACTGGAATGTGCACCTGTGCCCCGGGATGGAGGGGTCCAACTTGCAGTGAAGGTAAGTGAGAAAGGACTGACTTGTGGCCTGTTCCATTCACAAAACAGGGGAGAATGATTCTAATGCATTATTTCCTGACTTTGCCAGTCTTTTCCCGCATTTCTTTCATAAGATATTGTTAAGATTTTTTTTGTCTTTGTTTCTGCACAGAATGTGGCGCTGGGTATTTCGGCCAAGTATGTGCGGAACGTTGCGAGTGTGAAAACAATGCCGGATGTGACCCAGTCACTGGAGACTGTATATGCACGCCGGGCTGGAGCGGACCTCTATGCAACGAAGGTAGGTCAGCAGATACCCCCCCCCCCCTATCCAATCTAAGCCCTTCCCCCATTTTCACCCCCACTGTCTTTCTGTTTTCACAAATGTGACTTGGTTTGTCAAAACCAGGCACAGATGGGCAGAGCTACATATGGAGAAACAGCTGCGAAATGACCCAGGGTTCATTTTTAGCAATTTTCGCCATAGGCCTTATTCACGAGTCAGCCATATTGGATTGAGAGTGAAGTAAAATCGTGAATTTTGGAACTTGTGTAGAGAAATGAAAGCAAGTTAATTTATAATAAATTCCAGTCTGCTTCAAAAATGAATAATTTTAAATTTGTAATTAAACATTCCCTAATGTTTAAAGCCAGATTAAAAAAAAAAAATGACTGTAAATTATAGCTGCATTATGCTTGCATGAATAGTCTGGCGCCATCCCATTCAACAGTTGACAATTAATGAAATACATTCAGGGAACTCGACAAAAATGGCCAACTCCTGAATAAGGCCCATGGTCCACTGTTGTGAAAAAAGGCTGATGTGGTTTGGGATTGGAATCATTTGCCCTTGAGCGTTAATCTGAGGTCTTGCCATGATGACTGATAGCCAGGCAAATGATTCCAATCCCAATTGCAGCCCTTTTCACAACATGCAGGACTTTACACAGCTTACATAACACAGCACTGAAATTCATAAGGCAAGGAACTTGGTCACAGTGTCCAAAAATGTTGCTGTGATCAATTGACAATTTTGTAGTGATGCTTGACTGAAATTAAATGAAACTCGTATGTGTTTCGGCCAAGGATAAAGAGTATCTGCACAATCAAAAATTTTCAAAGTTGACCTCATGGTTTTGTAGTTATTTAAAAAATAGTCAGATGGACACTTTTTGGGACATACTATTTATGGAACAGGGCCCTAAACTACACTTTCATAGATGTTTTAACACTCCCACATGTGAGAACAATATGTTTGATCCAACGGACAGTTGATCTATCAAGGTTTCGAGTGATATGATACACAGTGCCCTCTGGAGACATGCACACAGTAGGGAACAAAAGATTGTATACGTCTCCACAGGGCAATTTCTATAGATGAATACGTCTCCACAAGGTTTTCACGAAATAGATATGTGGATGTTACTCAAAAACTAGGAATTTCCAAATTTCAGCCAAGGAAATTAATTCTGGTTAAAATAAGAGCATTTTGAAACTGTACTTTCAATCTTGAAAACTTAAGTACACGAGAACAAAGAAATGTCACAAGGATACAAATTTCAGTATGTGTGTCTTTCCCGTGTGACAAAATGCCCTGATTTGTTCAATAACAGAGTCAATAACTTATTATTTTTATTTTCCAGTGTGTCCGCATGGTGTCTACGGTGAGAATTGTGAGAACGCCTGCGTGTGTTTGCACGAGGCGCGGTGTGATCACATCAGCGGTTCCTGTGAGTGCTTACCGGGATGGAGGGGAGCCATCTGCGACAAAGGTGGGTCCAGCTGCGATTTACGACTTCCCAACTTGGCCTAATGCTTTGAACTAAACTTTACTTTACGAAATTAGTTGGGGAGGAATATAGGGTTCCCTTGCACCCCCTGGATATATTTTTCTAACCTATTTTTTTGTAATCCTTAAGGTGTCTAGTAAATGAATTTTGATGCTCCCAACATCAAATATTGTCCCATTGGGTTTATTTTGCGGCCATCTTGGCGGCCATCTTGGATTTCAATAAAAATCGGTTATCGACATAACTTTTGAACGAGGCATTTTATGCAGACAAATAAAAATGTTTTGGGTAATTTAGGTGTGTGAAATCGATTGAAAGTGTTATTTTTGTAATTTGGCAGCCATCTTGGCAGCCATCTTTGATTAAAAAAAAATCGGTTATTTGACGTAACTTTTGAACTAGGCATGGTAGTAAGACAAATGAACATGTTTTCCAGGATAATTTGGGCATGATGAATTGATTGAAAGCATGTATTTTATAATTTGGCGGCCATCTTAGTTTCCATGATAAATGTTCATATAAATAGAGATTGACTGGAGAAAGATTTGAACCTGCAACCTCCAGATTGCCGTTCCGGTGCTCTACCAACTGAGCTATCCAGCCCTATGCTGGCGGTTCCCCAGTTTGTCAATATCCTTGTTCAAGGGCGCTAGTCAGAAGCCATAAACCCGTATATGCCATGTAGCCAGGGATCGCGCCCAAAGTCACGATGCGATTAGCTGTAAATCTGGGAAATACCAAACGGGGATCGTCCCGCTCCAGTCAATTTCTTTGTTCGACTTTAAACACTATGCACTAAGTTGGTTTCTCATTTTGTGGTTTATTTGAAATTTGTTTCCTTTTTCGTAGCTTGCCCTGATGGTTACTGGGGTTACGATTGTCAGAATATCTGCGCCTGTGGACACGGGGCCCGTTGCGACCCCGCCAACGGCCAGTGTAACTGCCGACCGGGCTACACTGGGGATTACTGCGAAGAAGGTGAGGGCCATCATACCCACTAGGGCTGTCAGGCTTCAAGTATTCCTACTTTTCCTACTTCCTCCTAGTTGGTTTTACCTTGCTCCTACTTTTCCTATTTATTTTCTTGAAATTCCTACTTTTTCCTACTTTTTTGACCCACAACTCCGAAAAATGAAATCTCATCAAATAATTTTCATAACAGTGTTACACACTGTCATAAGTAAATCACACAATGAAGGGCTTGGGCGCAGGAGTACTGCAACTGTACTTCCAAGAGCTTAGTTGAGGATGGAGCACAAGTGTTGTGAGTATAGAACATGCCAAATGTGGCTTATGATGCTGTGGACATGGGTGAGCATCAATGAAAACTACTCCTGAAAGCCTCCAAAAGTCCTACTTTTATCCTGATTTTGTCCTCTAAAAGTCCAACTGTTGTCCTGTTATTTTGAACATTTTGATCCTACTGTTTTTTACTGTAGCTTTTCACTATGGACAAACGTAACTACACAACTTAAACCTTATACTTGCAGTTGACTTGTGGTTAACTTGTGATTGACAACAGCACTGTCGTCCGCCCTTCGTTTTCACATCTCTGAACGTTTATTTTTTATTCCATATTTTTTTGGCAGAGTGTGCACCTGGCGAGTGGGGCATGGACTGTATCTACCCGTGCGACTGCGAGAACAATGCAATCTGCGATCACGTGACGGGACGCTGCATCTGCGCCAACGGCTGGAGAGGAATACGCTGTGACAAATGTTAGTTCCAACTTCTTTGAGTCTTGTGTCTTGCCCAAGAACACAAGTTGGTTGGCTTGTTTGTTTGAATCTGAGATTTAAATTTTTATTTTTAAGTCTTCATGGTCCATGTTTCACTTAAGTTACCCCTCTCTACCCTCACAGATACCCATGTTTACACCGCAGTGGAGAGGGCAATTGTTGTAAAGTGTCTTGCCCAAGAACACAAGTTTGGTTGCCTTGTTTGTTTGAATCTGAGATTTTAATGTTACCTGTAGTTCTTCATGGTCCACGTTTCACATCAATCCCCTTCTACCCTCACAGATACCCATTTATTCTCCTCGGTGGAGGGGGTAATTGTAGTAAAGTGTCTTGCCAAAGAACACAAGTTTGGTTGGCTTGCTTGTTTGAATCTGAGAATTTTAGGTCATCATGGTCCACGTTTCACTTCAGAAGCCCCCCTCCACCCTCACAGATACCTATTTATACACTTTAGTGGAGAGGGCGATTGTTGTAAAATGTCTTGCCCAAGAACACAGGTTGGGTCGGCTTGCCTGTTTGAAACCGAAATATTAATTTCAATATTAGGTCATCATTAATTTCAATATTAGGTCATCATGGTCCACGTTTCACTTCAGAAGCCCCTCTCTACCCTCACAGATACCCATGTGTACTCCTTGGTGGAGGGGCAATTGTTGTAAAGTGTCTTGCCCAAGAGCACAAGTTTGGTTGGCTTGCTTGTTTGAATCTGAGATTTTGCTGTTCATTGTAGGTCTTCATGATCCTTGTTTCACTTCAATCCCCCCCCCCCCCCCACCCTCACAGATACCCATTTATACTCCTTGGTGGAGGGGCAATTGTTGTAAAGTGTCTTGCCCAAGAACACAAGTTGAGTTGGCTCCTTGTTTGAAGGTCAGGTCTTCACCTTCCGTGTACCTCTTGTTTGTTTTTTACAGCTTGCTCGCCAGGGTTCTACGGCGTGAACTGTGCACAGCATTGCATTTGCCGCAACGGTGCTACGTGCCACTCAGTAACTGGCGAGTGCATCTGCCCGCCGGGATTCATTGGCCGCGCTTGCGAGTTTGGTAAGTTGGAAAAAAAAACTCTTACAACCAAAAGACTGTTTCATACTTGTAAAAGTATAGCAAATTTCATGAAATCAGTCATTTTAGTTATAGGTGACCCTCCAGCCAGCACAGAACCAGTCAGAAGTCAAACGGCCATATTTTGAGATGGTGCCTATACAGCCTATAATACATAGAACATTGATGAAAATTTGTGCATATATTTGAGAACAAAAAATAAGCGTACACTCCAAATTTCATTGTGATTGCTATTTTAGAAATGTGCATTGCTGAAGAGTTCACTTGGGAAACTTTAACAACAAATTTCTCAATGTTTTTTAACTTACCGAGGCCTGAAATTGGAAACTGAAAACGTGTATTACTCCGTCACATGTAGTGTCCTTTCCAATGAGCCCCAAAATTTTCAAGAGTTGGTCCTCTGGTTTTGTGACTAGTTTTGTGCTGGACAGTCACAAAGGCTTTTAGAGTACAAGTCACTATTGGTTTGAATTCAACTTGTTGAATTATTTGTCCGCCATTGATTTGTCTGCAGAGTGTGCACCAGGTTTCTTCGGTCCGGGCTGCGATCAGGTCTGCGAGTGTCTAAACGGTGGCACGTGTAATCCGGAGGACGGGTCATGTGTGTGCCAGGCTGGCTGGTACGGAAGTCACTGCGAAGAAGGTGAGGATTGAAGATGTCTTCAGTGCAGTTTGAGACTTTGTAAAACGGAAATTACAGTTTTAGTGTTTGAAGGAAAATCCGGAATAACATTCCAGGGAAAACCCATGGAATCACGCAGGTAGGGACTGAAAACCCAATCCACATGTAGGCCCAGCTGCCAATTTCACGAAACAGTGTGTTACTTGCGTAGGACTTACGCAACAAATTTGTTGCGCAGCTGCGCAATAAACTTGCGATCGGTTTCACAAGACTTGATGTAACTACGCAGCGTTTTAAATAATCTCAACATCTTGGACGAGGATAATATAGCATTTACGACGGCTGTTTGTGTATGATTTTGTTCATTCATGAAACAGGCGTTGAATTAACCTCCGCCGACTCTTTTTGGAATCGTGCCTTAACTCTATACTTGTAGAAAAACTGATCTTTTGTTACTAGTAGCCAACAGAAAAAGTAACTTTTTTTCTAATATATGACCCCTGCTTTTCTCCTTTTTTGTTGCACCGTGATCGAGACAATGTCCAATAATGGCAAAAATTTCTGCATCAATTGAAATACTTCTTCTTGAAGAAGGAAATCGAGGTCACTATTTCTCAGTAGTCGGTTGCTCAACACTCTGTCCTGATTGGTCAGAGCATTAGGATGACATCATTTCACTGCTTTCTCATTGGTGAATTTGTTGCAGAGTGTATGGCGGACTACTGGGGCAAGAGCTGTATGCAGCGCTGCCTGTGCGTGAGCGGGGGCTGTGACAGCGTGACCGGGGCCTGCACTTGTGTGCCGGGTTGGAGGGGAACCTACTGCAGTAAACGTGAGTAGTTGGGTCCAGTGTTTGTATTGAGTCGTTTTCCAAGTCCTTAGTATGCTTGAATTACGGTAGTATTGTTGGAAGCAAGCTTTTTAAGGTAATGCACAACATTTGCTTTTGTTGTAATTTTCAGAAATGGATTGATTTGGGGGTTAGTATTTTATAGCAAATATTGTTCCACTGACCTGTTTAAAGTTTTGTGTTCATACTTGTTGGAAAAGCCAAGAAAAAATGCTGTTCTTGTAGTCTCGTTCTGTTACCCTACTTCAGAAACGGAGTAATTTATAGACGTTGGGGAATGGTCTGGTCAGGGAACCAGACCAGCTGGCTTGCACCTGCTCACAGATGTATAACTGATTGCAAACAAAAACTAAATTTGGTAAATTGGGGGCAGTATCTGAAAAGGCAGTTTTTTCCAACGATGGTCGTCTGACCATCGTTTGAAATTGATAAAAAAATTACACTTTTCTTGAAAATTACAGTACACCAAGTGCCACGATTTCACAGGACGCCTGAGACTATTATTCAATTGCATTCAAATAAGGCATTTCATAATTATTGGGTAGTTTTGCTTTTTGATGTTCGCAAATGTTGTATATTACCTTTATTTAAGATTCCCAAAGACTTGCATCACCTTGAGTATTAAGAATCAACATGAAAACTCATTTGTGTTTTCTTTTGCCAGCTTGCCAGGGAAGCTTCTACGGAGAGAACTGCTCGCTCCAATGTGCTTGTGGAGAGGACAACCCATGCAATCACATTACTGGAAACTGTACATGCCCTGCCGGCTTCAGTGGTCACGAATGCAGCTTGCGTAAGTCTCATATCCAACTAGAACATCGTTTCTGTACCTCCTTCTAATCTATCTGTTGCCTCCCACTCCGTGAATTTTTGACTAGTCACGACAGTAAGATGTCTGACAAAGGTCCGACACCTGTAAACTTAACTTGATGTGTGGTAGAGCTGTTCCGATTAAACCGAATATTCAAATATTCGATCATCAACCTAATATTCGATCATCAACCGAATATTCGAATAGCTTTTGGCCGGTTTGAATATTCGAAGAAAAAAAATGCACGTGCACCCACGACTGTGATGTTTATGTTAATCGTAAATTTGCGTTTGTCATTGTTAGATGCCACTTTGTTTGTCGACGGTATCATTTTTGTTGACACCTTTTTATTGGTCCCATTCTTTTAGCTGGGATAAGTCCCTGGACAGTTATACAATACTTACTGCAAACACTCCAGCGTCCCATGCTATCCATTGCTGCATGCAAATTTTAACCGGCACGATTTGTATGCAACGTTTGACCAGCGAGGAAGGCAGCTGCAGCTGGCCTGTGTAAATCTTGATCGGCAAGTTTCAGTTATTTGAATGTTTGGTTGAGTGCTGTTTCAAATACTGGAATGCTAAATTATTCAAAATAGACGACCCTGATGTGTGGGTCTGAAAAATGCAGTGTGGCATTTTGAAGTAAAATGTTGCCAAAAAGCGAAGTTGGTGGGTCTCACGGACCAATCCGAAACAGAATAAAACAAGCCAGACCGACAGAAATAACCTGCACAGAGTTTCCCACAGAGATATTCATTCCCCAGTCAGTTTGCTACATCAAGCACAATAAAACAGCAGCAAACAAAGTCAGTAACATTTTATACACAAACTGGTCAACTTGCAAAAGCATTTATAGTTTGTTTTTTATTACAGCATGTCCACAAGGCAGCTGGGGTGAGCGGTGCGCCGAGGTTTGCGACTGTGTGGAAAACGCCCTCTGCGATTCGGTGACAGGAGAATGCCAATGCAAACCGGGCTTCCACGGGAAACACTGCACTAAAGGTACTCAATAACTCTTCCCATTTTGAAAAGAATAACAGATGCGCTACAAACCCTTTGCTTTCTGCAAGTATACTTGAGTTTGTTCATCGTCATCATCATGAGCTGTCTTTGATCTGAAGGTTGGCAACTAATGCTCGCCATCCTAGTCTATTCTCTGCCAGATGCTTAATTTCCCTATGGAGTACCGAAGTGAATACGTCACTTGCACAAATGTGTGTAAAAGATATTAGCGCATGATTCAGCCCGAGAACCAACACGTGCGTGTACTCCCTCATTTGCACTACGCTTTCTGGTTCTAAATGACGTCATGCTTCGGTACTTCGGTCTTGCATCTTGTCCTGCTTTTCAGATCATCTATTCACATCCTTCTCCGCCTTCCTCATGCTCTGGTCCCGTCTATGGTTCCTTCATTCACAGCATTTGCCAATCTACCTGCACTACCTCTCATAGCATGCCAAGCGTACTTCATTTTGTTCTTGATGATGTTGATTAATTAGGTAGAGTACACCATTTGTAATTTATGCATTATGTTTGTTTGAAGCAACAAAAGTGCTCAAAATCTAAAGAAGGTTGCTGAACAACTAACCCGATGAAGGTTTAGCTCAGTGAATGCTGTATATTCAGAGAAAAACAATATTCTAGGATCTCGATTTCAAATTAAAAGTTACCGGGTCATGTTTTGAATTGCGCCTTAAGTCAGCGTCCGGGACACGTTCTCATTCAGCCGATTGCAGCTACACGATGTCGTGCCTTCAAACAACGAATTATAGCAACCACGCACACGTGTGCATCGTGTCAATGCTTGCGCGCTTCGCCGAATTAAAAAAGGAACTACTGACAGACCTTTCCAAGAATGCGTCTTTAGATGCATCGTGCAGATGGCCTTCTCGCATTGTTTTCTTCAAAACGACAGCTTGCCAGAAAGAAGAATTTCACAGGAAGTTTAGTCCCATTACTCTCTTAACCAAGTATGCTTTTCAACAATCATTTTGATAGTTACTTTTTGGATAGCTGCAAATGATGGACTGTAGCTTTAATGCTTGCGTTTTTATGCTGTGGCTGTTGCTCAAAATAAACACCACATAGTTTGAGCAAAAACGACCTGGTTAAATTTTCAACTATCTTCCGTGAAGCATTATTGCTGTATTAAAAATCTCAGCTGAAAATATTTTTCTCTGACACTTTTTGTGCGTGATTGTCGTTACAGATTGTCACCATGGTCGTTACGGGCCCAATTGTCACCAGCATTGTGTCTGCGGTAACGGCGCGTCGTGTGATTCTACTGACGGCACTTGCCACTGTCAGCCCGGATGGATTGGACCAACATGTGATCAGGGTAAGACAGTAACAAACTTTCTTCCCAAAAAATGGCGTGCTTCCTGCCAAAATAATTTCCCTTATGCCCGATTTCTATCTCTTCCCTGATAGTCACAGTCCAGATCTCATGAATTGTTTAACCGCCGATGTATTTTAACGCAGCATTTTGCATTATACTGACATGATTTTATAAGCACTGCATCATTGCTGTCTTTTAGTATGAGGAAAAAAATTACCAGGATTGCTTGGTTAGGACTCTAACTCGGCCACAATCTTCTGCAATTATTTCATGGATTTTTCATTTTTCCCAAATCTCACTCCTGTCGTGTTCACTGTAGCTCTGTAATTGACCTATCGCCGTTTGCGAGTTAGCCACGCCCCTTAGACAACCCTATGGAGTTTTTTGTACACTAAGTTTTGTTTGTCTCAGATTTTGCGCGTTTCGCGTCAAGTTTTTATATCATGTAATTGTACAATATTTCACAAGCTGCGTTGACGCGATTCTAACGCGCTTCTACCGCGATAGGTCAATTACCCTAGCAATTAACATACTTCTTGAAAATTTTACACACTATTGGAAGTATGGCAGCATTGAAATAAATGTCCTATTAATGTAATAATAATCTTTTTTTTTATTGCACCAGCTTGTCCTGAAGCTACCTATGGTATGTTCTGCTCGGAGAAATGCGACTGCGACAACGGCGCCCCCTGTGATCATGTGACCGGCACGTGCCGGTGTCGACCAGGCTTTGCTGGCGACCGCTGCGAAAGGAGTAAGTGAATGTCTTCCTTTTTTTTTATAAAATCTGTTTGAGGAATATTTTCTAGAGTAATTAGAGAGTACCTCCAGATAGTTCGATAAGCATCTCGGGATTTAGAGGACTTTGCAAAAATAGAATGCCTAACTCTCCTACTGTTTCAACAGTCACAGGCACTCAGAATTTCCATCCACTTCCCCAACCATGCATTATTGATGTATTTGTTTTCCATTCTTCAGTTTGCCAGACGGGAACCTATGGTCTGAACTGCGAACTCATCAAGGATTGTCACAATGGGGGCGTGCTGAACTCATCCATTGGACTGTGTTCATGCAGTCTGGGCTGGACTGGCGAAACATGCCAAGAAGGTACGTCATGGATTCATACCATAACACGGTTCATTTGGGTTTTTTATTTAAAAATTCGTAAGAGGTTCTGTGCAAATCCGGCTACAACTTTGTGTAAACATAATCACCACATAATACAAAAACTTTTTTCAGCGTCATCGCTTACAGTATGAGAATCTCATCATCAACAATTGCAGATCCAGAACAACATTTTTTGGGGGGGGGGAGGGCCCAAAAAAATTGGTCCCCCAAAAGTGGGCCAAAAAAATAGCGGCATGGGGTTTGGGGCTCGTTTAAGGGCCCCGAAAAATGTTTGAATTCTAGATGCTCTGTTGTGCCATCTGAGGCAATTTCTGACCACTTTAACCAATTTGTTTTAGGGAAAGATGGTGGTGTACGCAGTGCCTGCCTTTTTGCGGCGTCACTTTGCCCCCCTTCCCCTTCCCCCCCCCCCCCCCCCCGATCCGCCCTTGATCATCAATATATGAAATTTAACATAATCTTTTTATTGAATATTTTGTTTGTCAATTTGTCGAATACAGTCTAATCAGTATACATGGTGGTCCAAAAAAAGGTTACACTCTTTCAGATGCAGATTTCTCAAAATTGGGGAGACATGTTCAAATTACATGTTTCAAATATTCCTAAACTTCAATGTCTTGGTAGTATATGGTGAAAACGGCATTGAAAATAGCGCCTAAATTAAGAAATGGTGGCCACTTACAGAAAAATGGTCAAAAACCAGTTCGTCCACACGCAAGTCTATGAGACTTGGTCAAAACATTAGCACTGCGTGCACGTAGAACTGCAATATAGTCAAATACTGCTTCTTATGCCTTAATAATTATACTTGGTGTTGAACCTTTATGAACAATTTCGGTGTCTTTAGTTCGAAATTCAAAAACAGTGGCGACCGGAAATTGGGTACAAAATCGTTAGGGACTGCGCCACGTTAGGGGACACCAACAACAACATGTAGTTGCTAGTTCGTGGTTTTTGATCTGTAATTACTTACTGAATGCCTATATGCATCCGTTATAAGCGGCTCTTAATTTGCCAATTAAGCGCTTGTTTATTGTCAATAAACATCAGGTTTTACCTGCCCAGAAAGTGCTAATTGAGCACGTAGTAATTATTAATTGACAGCTGTTTCATTACCCCTGCAACTTGAAGACCAAAAAAAAAAGGCTGAATTCCGTCACAGCCATATAAAAAAATGCAAATTTAATTTGATTGTAATAGGCAGCACGCAGATTGGCACTTAGCGGGTGTTAGTTTTTCAGAGGTTGGTTATTTTTTAACTTCGGAAGGGAAAAAAAAATTACATTTGTGCAAACATGGGAAATGCTTGCCACGCCAATTCCTAGCAATACTCAATTGATGTAAAAAAAAAAAGATTCGCTCCAGCACAGTATAAGTTGAGCAAACATGTGACCTGCGGTCCATGCTTTTAAAGGGTTCGTGTACTGTAATTTTTTTTTAATGCAATCCTTGAAAATGCACCTTTGTGTCCATTTAACATTTTTTTCAATATTCATTTTGCCATATTAAAGGACATTTTGGTGCCTTTTTGGTTTTCGTGCTAAATGGGATGTCATTTCAGGCAGAAACCTCAATGTTATTAGCTATTTCTGTACCAACAGTTGCCAGAATTTTGGATATTTTGTGGTCATAAATTTTCTTTTCTTTGGTGATTCGTTGTTGTTTCAGTACAAGACAGGCTAATTTTTCTCACAAATGTTTTCCATGAGCACATTTTGGGTCACACTTTGAAAACAGAAAACCCCTAAACTGAACAGTGTCTTCCTGAAATGATATCATATTAACAGTGCCCTGCAGTTTTAAGTACTCTGTGTAGCAAATACTATTTCGTTTAAAATGCAATTTGTGGCCCAATTGGGCACATTTCAGGCCGTAATGTCCCTTTAATGAGATTGTGTGACAGATATCAACCTATACAACCAGTCCTGTTCAGCTCCAACCAGTTTTTATGAGCACAAATTGGAAAGAAAAGTCCTCCTACAATTCCCTGATTTCCAGCTTTTTTTTTTTAAATTGGCACCGTACATGTGTGTATATTTTTTTATAACTCAAATTTCAGGCCAAAATGTCAGAATCCATTCATATCCCCGTTAATGTGACATTAGGTGTGCACATTGATCCTATGAATTGTCTTTAGAACATGAAGTTAGAACATTGCTGTGAATGTTCAACGTTGAGTTTTTAATCCCTTGTCAACTACCATTAGAATTTTACAATCAAAGCTGTTGTTCACGTTAAGTTTTTCTAGCCCTGTCTACTTTTTAAAAAGAATTTGAAGACTACTTCTGATATAAGGAAGTCTTGTTTTTACATTGAAACATATATTTGGTGAATGTCTTTGTCACAGAATGCCAGGCTGGTCGGTATGGCCCCAACTGCGAGCTGGAATGTGCCTGTGAAAACGACGGACGCTGCGATCGCATGACGGGCTGCTGCGAGTGCCATGACGGTTTCTTCGGCCAGCGATGCGAGTACAGTAAGTCTACATTCTAAGTTCTTTTAAGATGGAACCTGTTCATAAGATGGAATTTTAATGATGGAATACTTAATGCGGTACCCGCTGCTATGTACATCAGATTCGAACCAGCCAACCGATCCCGTTAGCTCGGTGGTCGAGTGGTAAGACATCTGCACTAGAAAGCAGGAGGTCGTGGGTTCGAGTCCCACCCGAGTGATTTTTTCCAACTACCACTTGGGAGGTAACACACTGAATATACAGTGTTTATACATCGTTGAAGGGCAAAACCTAATTTGAGGTGGAACCTGTGGAACCTTCTCGCAGGTTTGCCGCACACTTGCCACATGTGATCTTAAAGAAAAGTCCCGCGAGCATTTTGGTAACCCAACTGGTAAATTGTGCATGCGTACTACCTGAGCGCAATCGAGCCTGGTTCCGCCTTGGAAATGGCTTCTTATTTAGGGTCACCAAATTAGTCTATATGTTATTACGGTGAAGAGGTTTATAACTTGTTCGATGATGTAAGTTATAGCCACTTACCGATCGAATGTCTGTATCATTAAATGTCTGGACTCCGGGGACTCCGAGTCCAATCGTCAATGCACAGCAAAGCGGTGTAAAAACTGCTCCCACGCTGGTGCGGTGAACTTTGGCTTACAGCCGAGTGTGTAATCTCTACACACCTGGTTCCGAGAAGTTTGTGCGATAGTTCGGTCCGAAATAGTATATAATCCTCGGCGAACACAAGCCACAAAACTCACAGGATAACAGTCAATAATTATTAAGGCAACGAAATGTAAAACTTGTTGTAGTGTCGTAGAATAACTAGAGGAAAAGTTGAAAAAATCACTCAACAATCACAACGTGTCATTCATTTTCGAAGACTGATTGCAAAGTGTAATAGAAACCTGTAAAAGTCAGAGCACTTTTCCATGTACACTGCATGTAGAAACTCGTCTGGCATCCAGACTCCAAATGTCGTGTGGTGATACTTGGTGCGCATGCGTACAAGCTCCAAATAAGAATGCACAGTATTTATAAGGAATGTACAAATGTAACAAAGTTGCTACAACAGTCACTCATTTATTTATTCTTGGTTGTATCTATAAATAGTGTGTGAGCCAGGTTTCTACGGGTCCTACTGCAGCCGTCAGTGTGAGTGTCACCCAGCCGCCGAGTGCGACCCGGTCAGCGGTCAGTGTCGCTGTCCGCCGGGCCGGACGGGACCGGAGTGCAAGCAGTCCTGCCCGCTGGGCTTCTACGGCCCCAACTGTCTGGACATGTGCAACTGCGTCAACCTCACCATGTGCAATCCGATCAGCGGGAGGTGCGAGTGTCCGCCGGGCTTTACCGGGCAACACTGCGAAGAAGGTGAGTTCTTGTGACTCTGTCTTTAAGGAGTCATTTTAAAACTTATCCCAGAAAAGTTGAGGGATAAATTTCCCCCATAATGTGGACTGCATTTTGTACTCGATTGGGAATGCAAAGCTAATTTGACATCATGAAACCTTCACTGCAAAATTCGCCAGGGTTTGAGGTGTGCTCAATTATTACGAATTTGCAGTGCCAATACTTTGTATATAATATATATATATATAAAAGTATGTGACGTCACATATTTGCGTGAGCATTTGCTTTCGCACCAAGTATGAACTGGCTTTTAGGTGTCGACTCAATAATTGTTCCACGAAAGTTGAGGAAACTTTTCGTCAGTATGCTGATTGTATCTCTGTCAACCATACTTGGGCGCTTTGTTGTGTGAATAGTTTTGCATAGTAAAACAGTAGCTAATTGTTTAAAGAGGTTGTGGAATGTTCGAAGACATTTCCGTCATTTTTCGGTCATTGTGACGTAATAAACAGGTCATTGTGACGTAATAAACAGGACTCGTTTATACTACGCTGCATCGGAAGTCCTGTTTATTACGTCACGATTTACTATGTTTTGTTTGCTGCCCCCAACGACGACTTTTACACAAATTGCACGTTCGGGTCGAAACAGGACCTGAAAAACAGCTCTCAAATAGTACCTTTTGTACTCATTTCATGACAGACACAATAGTCGTTTTTATTCATCACGCCTTAGGCTGCATATACCCGAAAAATGACAGAAATGTCTTTGAGCATTCCACAACCTCTTTAAAGAGTTTCTTAAAACAACATATACTATTTAAGGGAAATTGGCCCTTAAATTTCCCCTCCAAACTAAGACTAGCAAAGACATGTCTTTTTGTATACCAACACTTTCCTAATGACTGCAGTGGAATCACAACTGTTAGCATTGTGCCAAACTAGAGGGGGAAAAATTTAATTATAATATTTTTGCTGAACAGTTTTATTAATAATTTTTTTTTTCCATTCCAGAATGTCAAGATGGCCACTATGGTCCCAACTGCCAGTTTGTCTGTTCCTGCGCCAACGGCGCTACATGTAATCCTACAGTTGGAAGCTGCGAATGTATAGACCAGTGGATGGGCCCAACATGCGAACAAGGTAAATAGTATACACATGTTACATGGGTTCAAGGTAAATAGGACACACATATAACGTGGTTTCAGGGTAAATAGTATATTACATGGTCCCAGGTAAATAGTATCCACATATTACATTGTTTTAGGGTAAAAAGTATATTACATGGTTTCAAGGTGCTGGCATGCAACTCTGCACTATACAAGAGTATTGGCAATTATAGTACCTCATACATATTCATGATCAAGATGCGAATTCTCATTGGTTGATTCACCATCATGCGTCAGCTGCTGGTTGTGCTGTTTGCCCAGCGCGCACGCAAGGATCGACCACACGGTAAATGTGAATGTGTAGTAGACTACTATCAGATGGGTTATCCGTGTTATTGTCTATTGCGCATGGGCTTTGTGAAGCAATCATGGATTTATCACATAATTTTAGTGTGCACGCATGAACAATCTTCTGCTGAGATAACCTTACACAAAATTTTAGGTGCATATGTATTAGGTATATAGTAAAACAAATATGGCATGGTTTATTTCAAGTGGATGGTCAATATTAGCTCCCCTCGGTATTGGAAGTTGACAAACTGGTTCCCTAGGATTTGCTTCAGGAACTGTTTTGTCAACATTGGGTACATCGGGGAGCTAATATTGACTATCCACCCTCAAACCGTGTTATATTTGTATATAGTTTCTTTCCGTGTTGAATGAGGAAAATCATCTTGAGTGAAATTCAAACTTGGACCATAAGTGAGTAGAGTCGTTCGTTGACTCTCTCCTGTGCCATTAGGGTTTTTCTCCGGTTTTCCTCTCTCTGCAAAAATCAACACTTTCAATGTCTGGCTGTGCTCCGTGGTCAGACATGGGTCGTGTAGCAGCAGCCTAAGGCGTCTTTACATGCCTTCGGCTCGACCATGTTGTAGTCGCGTCTTTCGCAATTCAGCTTCTCAGCTGTGAGTACATGTAAGTACGCGTAGCCCCCCCCCCCCCCCCCCCCCCACCACCAAAATATTCAGCCCTCTTTTGATTGTCCCTCCGTTAAACATCATCTTTCTTCTGTTTGGTACTTCTCTAATTTGAATCTCTGTCATTTGTGTCTCTCTACAGGAGGACCACTCCATTTCTCAGGCATAAGGAGAGGTGATATCGGCCCCGATGTATAAAACCCCTTCAATGGGCATGCTGCAAGCTAGCTAGGCTACTCATTCAAGACTGCTGTAACATGGAAAGTAAATAGTTTGCTCTGTATGGTGCGTGTATGTGTTGTGTGTGCTTAAAGAGAGAGAGTTTGAAACCATATGATTTATGAGAGTGCTGGTCACAAGTTAATAATGCTTTCAGGAAAAAAATGAAATTCTCGGTGATGTAAAATACATCTTTTCAACGTCTGGAACTCCTTGCTCTCACACAAACTATCTTCTCTGTTAACCGTAGATTATTACTCTTTGGAAAATAGTACAGAGGCACCCCGGAACATTACCTATTTTTTATCTTATTTATGGCAGTGCACTATTTAGGTTCACCTTTATAGGCTGGTTCCTTTCTAACAATGGAACCCATAGGGATCATTCCGTGTAGAGGCTTCGGGGCACAAGTCCAAGATGGCAGAGCTGCATAACAAAATGTGCACTAGAAGAGTGATAGAGGGTATATGGTTGAAAGTGAGAAAGTGTGAGACAAGTTTTTAAGGCATTTTTTTCCTCATTTCAACTCCTGTTTAAAACTTTGTAAGATCTCTGCTTTTGTTTGATAATCCGCCCATAACACTATGCTCTATATGAAATAAGGGGGAAAAGTATGTTAAGTATGTTCAGAAAATAAAAATGACACAAATAGGGAAAGGATCAAAAGTACCACAAGAAATTACATTTGAATATTCTAATTGAAAAAATGGGAATGTTACTTATTTTAAATGAGAAAGACAGTTTTTACATAATAGCCTAGACATTTTGATTTTAATACCTATTTATAGCATCAATAACTGTATATAGTAACAAAGCTAATTGCTAAAAAAAATAATGAAATTGCTAGGAATAATTTTTATGCAATTCTCTCTTTTTTTTTGGAATATTAATTCAGCTTTTGGTGCTCAATTTGGGGAGATTTCGTTTCCCAGGTTTTTTTTTTCCCCGTGGATGATACGGGGCAAGTTTTGAGGTTAGAACAGGTTATCTTTAGCTATTCTTTGATCATTTTTTTTCCACACAAGTACCCTACCAAGAAATGCAATATGAAACTTGCCATTTTGTTTTTTTGCAAGAGAAAAAGCTTGGCCTGTTTGAAAGAAAACCCGATATAAATGATATCTCCGGTTCTTTTTCCCCTTTAAATAATTTAAAAGCCATTGCAGTATTATGTTTTTTTGCTGATGCAAAAATAGAGCCATCTTGGTCATCGCAGTTTTTGAAACACACTTGTATCATGAACAACGAACAGTGTTCTATAGCGAAATTGTGGTGCCATAGCTTTATGCTGTCGCAGTATCTTTGTCAATTGCTATGTTTATTTGCAGGCAAGAAAAGTATTTAAAACAGAAAATCTCTAGTTTGGTTAGTTCTTCACAAGATGGCATTTTCTCCATTGTACATTTTAAAAAACTGAAATTTCACGTTTTCAGGAATCCTGATAGATAACAGTCGTTTGAGTATTGTTTCTTTAAACCTTTCATTTAAAATTTCAGGGTATTTTTCTTCGTGTTTTTTTTTTAAAAGAAAGCTAAGTTAACTTGTTAATTGTTTTATCTGTTTTGCATTTTGACTGTAAAATTGCTCAAATGTTGATTGTATATTCCCTTCTAACACTGCATTGTTAGTAGCTATTTCCATGTTATGTTAAGCTTTTAGGAAAATTTATAGACGTTTTGATTTTATTTATTGATAAAAAATGTTAGATTCCTGATATGAGAAATTTCAGAGCCTGAGTTTTGGTCACGGAAGCAGAATAAGTAATGAGTATTGAAGGAACTTGGAGAAAAAAAAATGAAGCATCAAAGAAAGAAGGCCAGTTGAGGCTGGATTGTGCTGTAATGTAGATTTGTTTATTTTCGTTTAATATATTTATTGGGTGGTGACTGTTTCTTGCTTTTTGTGAATTCAGTGGAGCTAGTCTTCTTTCCTCATGTTTTGTGACTGAGCTCTATAGACCCATTGCAAAGAGCGCCCTCACTTGGGGCAGTTTTTGTCCCTCTGTGGTGCGCATGAGGAGGCATTTTGTGGTGTCATTGCCACTGAATTTGAATGGCGAAACCTTTCGTCAGCGAGGGCGCTTTTTGCAGGGGTCTGTTCTCAAGAGGGCTCAAAAAAAGAAAAAGAAAATCTGTACCAATCTTGACTTGAATAGGTCGTAGACACAGCAGTCATCTAGGACAGTGTTTCTGTAATGAGTGTACCTTTCGTTCATTCCTCGTAACTGCATGAAAAAAGAAACAATAAAAAAGATCCACAAGTCTGAAAATCACTGTCACTGATAAGGTTCGTCATAATTCATTGTCATTTCATGCGTTGCCATGGAGATAAATTATCTTCAGGTGTACCATTTGATCCACCCAGTCACATGGACGAAACTGTCCAATCAGCCAAAAGGATGAATACATGTTGCTGCATAATTGTCTGTAGCTTGACACAATTTTAGGCATTACCTTTACGTAAGTTGTTATTGGCCCACTGATGACCACGTGACTTCTTTTTGCCTTTTTTTCATTATTAGTTATGTATTGGAGTAAGACACAGCTTGATCGACCAGCCATGCTTTTGTATGAAAACTGTTTTTAGTTAGACAAAATTGTACATGTATATACATTTTGTATCAGTGTTCCAACACTGCCATATGGGTGCTAACAAAAAAAAGTAGTGTTTTTATTTACTCAAATATTTTTGTAGGAAGTATGTATTTAAAATTGCAACTGTTGTGTTTATAAATTGAGCAACTTTTTTTTTAAAGCAAACAAGCTATCCTAACTTCCTAAAGTTTTATTTTGTATAAAATCTTCTCCCGTACATGTATTTAAATTTTGTAGTATACCCCAAATGTTGTTTTACGTTATAGCCTAAATTATCTATTAATTTACCATGCGTAACGTGTTGTGAAATATAGTAAATATTGATTTTTTTAACCCAAATCACCAATTGTCGGTGGTTTTCGCTAACGATCTTCCAAACCCTACTTCCGGAAGACACTAACTTTGCTGCCTCTATTATATCCCTAGAAAAATGTTATATTAATTTTATTTTTTGCTCATGAACTTGAATCTCATGTGTCCTTTTTTTTGTTCAGATTGCGAGTGAAACAAACCCTGTTGACAACATAATGGGGTGGTTGAAAATGGGAAACTGTTCTTTTTTTGTTATGGCTTCAGTAGAAGCATGGGATCGCTTGGTTTTATTTTTGTATTCTTATGTACCAAATAATTTCAGTGATTTGTAACAGCATTTTTTTTGATTTTTGATTTTTTGGGAGGAGGGGGGTGGTATTTGCATAATTGTTGTTATGAAATTTTCAGCTTGTAACACACAACTACCCTGGTTTTGAAAATTGTTTTATTATAATTTTTTTTTTTCAATTTGTGTATGCCAAGATACATGACGGACATGTAAATAAAATCACCTGGGGAAACATAGTAATGTCCTCTTACAATATTATTTCATTTTTTGCAGCATCATTATCCTCTTTTAATGTGATGGTAACACTCAACACAATAACTTTACAAACCGTGGATGGAGATGAGGTAACGTTCTATTAATAGAACAAATCAATAAGCCCCGCCCACTGGTTTTTGTTTTGACCAATCACAGCCGCGAGTAATGTCTGACGTGCGCGCACGTTCTTATGATGTGCGCTGCTTTTCAACCAAAACGGCACTCGGTTCTTGAAAAAGAAATGTAACGCGTTTATTACATCAGTCTGATGTAATAAACGCGTTACATCTCTCATTCAAGAACTTCCAAACACCTAAAACGAAGAAAATTGTGAAAAAAATGTGAAAAATAAATTTAAGTTCGGCCCTGTGCACCACTGGCGCCATGTTGGATTCCCAGCATGCATTGTAGTTGGTAATGTGCTAACTCTTAGTCCTAAGTGGATACTTGATATGTTCGTGAACAGAAAACATGGTTTTCACTCCCATATAAAATGCATTACAAAGTTTTTATTCAAAAATAACCAAATATTATGATTTATGGTTTTTTGGGGTCGGTTGCAATGGCAAACATTGGGATCTACAGACTTCCTATTGGCACCATTATTGATCCCCGGTAAAAGGTTGGAAAACATCACCAAATTCATGGCGATCAGCTGAAGCGTTTCGGAGCTATAACAATAACTTTCATGGGGGGAGGGGGGGGGGGACGCATCCCCCCGGCGGTTCTGATGAAGTGGTCTATCCCATATTACATGTACAGGTATAATCCAATGAGTGATATCTGGGAATCGAGTACGACACACGCATTATCCTGGATTTAATTGAGTCTTGTTGTTGAAAGAACTGACCTTTTTCCTCTTTCTTCGGGGAGAGGGAGGGGTTCTCCTTCCTGTTTGATATATTTTCCTTGCTCTTTCAATTAATTGTGTTCATGTCCCGTTCGATACTACAACAGTCGTATACTTAATTTTATACCTGTGGGCTATTAAATAGCACTTGTCCACAACCCTTAAGAGTTTACCGCCCATTTTATACATTCAAGCCACAACAGCTGTTTATTTCACGCGCTATATCTCTAAGCGTAACTGCCATTGGTCATACAGGCTGTGCTGTACAGTCAGCTGACTGCAATCCTCATATTTTTGTCACCGAATTCGTAACTGGCCTTTAATTTGGGTGTTTGTTGTGTCAATATTTTTCTGATCTTTTCCTGATTGAAAAATGGAGTAGGCCTATACTGGTTCAAAATTTTACATTTTGAAAAGAAAAAAATGCGATACTGCGTGGCCCGCTATACTTCCTCAAACCTCATTATTGACAATCGTTTTGTAAAAATTACCACACGCACAAAAAGCAGCAAAATTATAATATTCAGCATATTAATTAATTGTATTGAAAATATTTCTATGCTAAGAACGTTTGTGGTGCTGAATGAGGAAGCCTACCATTCTAAAATGGAATTTGTAGGGTCATTATTCAGTACAGGAAGAATTACAGAGCGTTTTGAATTCAGAATCCAAACGGACTGTATTTTTTCTTTCTATACCAGTTGCTATCAACCCGTGTGTTTTTTTGGTTGTTTGAAAATCCCTCCAAATTTTGGAAATCGTGACGTCATCGAAAGTTGCCAAGAAGAAACTTTTTGGGAAATTGTCTAGCACCTAAACGCTAAGCAGCGACTTACTTACTATTTCCACTATGGGCACCCGACTATTTCTGAACACGGTTCGTCTGCTCACAGAAGTCCGTCATTTTGTGACCGTATTTCGTTATTTTCGGGTATAAAATGTGCGGGTTTTGCCGTATTTTGGATCTCAACCATATTATCTTGATGCTGAGATAAGACAGTTTGAGAGAAAAACTTTGAAAATGGATGAAAAGTAGCGAAACGAGTGGACCAATTTAGAACCAGTGACTCTTGGTACGGACCGAAGACGGGAGAATTTGTGACAAGATTTGCACGTCTGTCACGTGAGTAATTTGGCAATTATGCTACCCTGTTTTGCTTTAGTTAAAGTGTTTTTATCAACCCAAAATGATTTCTGAAACCTTATATCAGCTTTCTTATGACTTTTATTTCTAATTTTGAGCACTAATCTTTTTAGGGCCTACTAAATATAACTTATAATATTAAGAAAAGGCGGTGGATATTTAGCCGGCGCCAGCTTTCTTAAATTGACTAGTAAATGATATTTGAAAAACAAATGTTGCAACCTGACGCCACTTCTGCAATTGTGTATAAAGTCTATGGAGAGTTTAGAATTTTTTTAAAGTATTTCCTAACAAAGTTGGAAAAGTTTCTCAGTCCCAGATTCATGTCATATCATTTTTGCAATGAATGACCTTCATTGAGATGATATGTGAAGAAAAAAGCAGCGTCAGGTTGCAATATTCTTTCCGAACATTTTTTAAGTATTTCCTAACAAAATTGGAAAAGTTTCTCGGTCCCAGATTCATGTCTTATCATCATTTTTGCAATATTTGAATGACCTTCATTGAGATGACATATGAAGAAAAAAGTTGCATCAGGTTGCAAAATTGTTTCCCAATATTTTGCTGGTAGGCATCGAGCATGCGCAGTGACTGGTTATGGGGACTTAGAAATGTTTACCGTGACAACTCTTAGTTTGGTTCCTCACCAACATTGTCTTAGTGACTTCATATTCATGAGATGGAAATCAGACCATTTTACAATTTTTAACTTTATTAGCCTTTAAAAAAAAACACCTCCAGAGCCAAGAATCAGAAAAAGAAAATGTGATACTCTGTAATTAAAAGTTGGAGTCAATTCAAGTTGCTAGGGAAGCCTAAAATCAATTTAAGATCGAAATTATTTTGTCACTTGAAAATCACCCCAGCTATAGTATGACTGCTAAATAGCTAAAAACCCTGAAGAAGCCGGATGCACTACACGGCCATGGGTGAAGAGCGCACACAAGAGGGCGCTGCAGAGAGCTCCAAAGATTTTGAATGACTGGCAACAGCCGCGGTGCACTTTGCCAAAGTTGACGCACGCTCGGTGGATGATTAAAGTTCCAGTCTGGTTCCCTGACCCCATTGGCCTTGTAACTATTTATAGGGGGGCCAGGAAACAGTCTGGTAAACATCAGAGACGCAATATGCTTAATTTTCAAAACCGTCGGAATTCGTTGCCGAATACCATGATTTTTGGATAACTAGACCTCTGAAGGTATGGAACTCTAGCTATTTAGCAGTCATACTATAGCTGGGGTGATTTTCAAGTGACAAAATAATTTCGATCTTAAATTGATTTTTGGCTCCCCTAGCAATGGACCTATCCATGCACAGACCGTAAATTGTGTGACTGTAATGCGGAGGTAGTCCAGTTATTTCAGTCGCATTTATGGGACTAGCCGGGAGTTGAACCAGGGATATCTCTCACTCATGAGATACACCCGCTACCCACACAGCCGCAGGTGTTGCACAGATGATGGTGGTAATACTTTGTAAACTGTAGGCGTCAACGAGGGTGCTGTACAACCCAACCGGCTTAATAACGTTTACTGAAAGAAACCGGCTAAAATATACACTTTCATAAGAAAATGTGATTTAGGTTCGCCTAAAATAAAAGAATTTTGGGGACATTTTTACCGGTCCTAAATTGGGGGGTCGTGTAGTTACGGGCCCCTCTTTAGTTTCGATCAAATTAGAGTCGAGGGTGCTTTTTTTATCATTCAACAATGACCTTTTCAACCTAAGGCAGACTTCTCCCAATCCCATTATGACATGGTAAATGTTGCTGGTATGGGTTTTGGGATGCTGATGTGTTGTGTTGAGATTCAAATGTAGTGTCAAATGTTATCCCGGGGTCAATTGAGGCTGTAACGGAACAAATGTGAAAAATCATGTTTCATAGAATGCTGCTTAGAATTATTGTTTTGGAAGTCTTGAGTTGAGGTGTGGTACATGTTAAGCAGTGACGTCAGAGGTAGTCTAGGGGTCATTAGAGGTCCTTAGATGACCTTTGGCCCAGTGGCGCACCCAGGATTTGACTTTGAGGGGGGGCTCACAATTTTTGTCAAATTTTGTAGAAGTTAAATTTTTTGAAAAAATTTTGCTGAACAATTTTTGGCAGCAGAAAAAACCTTTTTTTTTTTTTTTTTGGGGGGGGGGGGGCCTATTTTGACGTTGGTGGCGCCACTTACCCCCCTATTATATTACTCGAAAATAGGTCACATTCATATCACCAAGGTCAAATCATGGGACTAAAAAAAAATTACAAAAAAACACTGCTTTGGCCCCAACGCAAAACAGATAGGGACCACACAAATAGACAGGCTTGTATTTTTCAGTTGATGCCATGTGAATCAAAAGGATTCTTCTCAAATTTTAAAAACTTGTCACTTTAAATCCACTTGTTTGTTGGTTTTAAATCTTGCTAATTATTTGTGTGAGTCCAGTAACCGGAAAGTGGATTTTTGTTCTCTTATAGGAACAGGGCCCATAACTGCCTGTGATTTAATCATCAAGTCGACTCTCGTCGGACTGCAACAAAGGCACGCCACACATCACAGTCTCCCATGGCCGTCCTGATCTCGGCTGCGGAGGCTAGCCCAGTATCAAGACGCAGCTGGTCTACGTAGGTTAGCGTCTGCCCACCTCGAGAGGCTACTCCATGAGTGGGTTCCCATAAGATGAGTTGGCTGGCAGCTGTCTCTGGATGCCGAATGCAGTGACCAGCCAACCGCAGACGCCTAAGTCTGACAGTTGTAGAGATCCTTGGCAGGTTGCCATAGAGCTCCTCATTCCTGACTTTGTCTCTCCAATTCACGGCTCGAGCCATCCTCAACATGCGAGATTTAAGGTAAGCCCAAACATCAGTTTGTGATGAGAAACTCATAAGTGGCAGATCCAAGCAAGGGGTTGGCAGTGGTTGCTGCGGTGATGCCATGGAAGATTTTCAGACGGGGATAATCTATGAAGCATTGCAGTCAATTAATAAAATGGCACAAGTCCAG